GAGGGGCGTCCACCAGACTTCTCGACGTCCGCTCGCCATCAAGTGGCCGACTGGCAAGAGGGCACGACGCGAGGTCAAGCCGGAGCTGGACGAGGAGCTGAAGGAAGCTGCCGGCTCCTTGCTGCACCTCGCTGGTATACGCAGCTGCATGGAGGGCTCCAAACGCACTGTCAAGAGCACAAAACTTAACAGGAAATGAAGTTTCTTTTGCCCCCATAAGACTCCGGACCCTGTGAACCCCTAACCTCTGACCCCTGATCATGTGTCCCAGTGTGCCTCCTTCTCCTTATCTGATCGTTCTTTGGCCATTTTGAGCCTTTTTTTGTTTGGGAGTATCTCTGTCCAACAAAACAAATGGCAATAGTATCGTTCACACAGGAGAACAAAGCCATATAGAGTAACTCGGGGGGTAACTGCTGGGGGGTGGGTGTTTGGGCTATGGAGAACCATCAAGATACCTATCCAAAATGACCTGCCTGCTTGTGTTGGATTAGAAGATTGTGATTCAAGAATTTTTCTCTGAAAGACAAAATGGAAAAAAGCTGAAGGTTTTTTAACTCAAAGCGTTGCATGCTTCCTCCTCAAACCTGTATCCTCTTCCAAGTGAATCTATTTATGAAGCGAATGAGTGCATGTTTGTAACAGACAAAATCTAACCTCCTGGTGTTATCACTTTCTCCTTTTTGTGCTAAAGAAAAAAAATGCCACTGTTTTGAAAGGAGTTCTTGCTCTTTGAATCCTCTTATAAGAGAGATGCAATAATTAATCCACAACCTTAACTTTCTGACATTATTCCATGGTGGCATTTTTCAGAGTTGAGTATGCTAGTTAAACTTTACAATTAAGAGAATGAATGGAGTAGTATTATGATCTTGTCATGCGATAAACTTATTACAGACGAGCTCCGGCTCTATTTCAGGATTAGCAAGATATGGAAATAGTATTACTCTGCCACTGCCAAATTTAGTTGCAAAGTTAGCTATTGTACTTCTCTCGGTTTTGTGCGGCCATTACAGTACAAGCTGTTTTCTTTCACTTTATTTTTTTTGTGCTCATCCTGTCACATTCATCAGCGTGCTTTTGACATTTATTGTGCAGACACAAAACATGTATTTGCATTTGGTGACAGCCTACACAAAGTGAACATCTGCCAGGTATTGCCACGTGTTCGCTGTGTGTTCAAAGGTTGTCCTCCATAGATTTTATTTTATTTTTGTGTGTGTGTGTGTGTATCATAGTGCATGTTGACTTCAGCCCAATCCTGAGATGACTGTCACGACGAAAAAAAGAGTTTGAAATAGTCAAACACTTTTTCTACTGACAAATGCAGCTCCAGTTAATATAATGTACTGATGTAAAGACAGATCTCCTTGCTACAGATGTATTGTAGAGCTGCTTGGTACTCTGCTTGCTTCTGGTCCTTTTGAATGCAGAGTTGGCTAATAGTGAGGAACAGGAGCGGATAGTAAGTTACCACAGCGTCTTGCTCCATTATTTGGGTTTGCAGTTTGATTATATATCTGTGTCCTCCTTGGTTTTTGTGCCATGTACTTTAGAAAAATTACAGAATTATACAGGTAATTTTCTGTTTGCTGATCCTGTGGCCAAGTTAATTCATAACTCAAAAGAAGGTGTGTCTGTTTTGGTTCAAAATATTTAGACATCCACAGCATAGAGCATATTCAAGTGTAAAGAACGAGAAGGGGACAGTACAGTCATGGGCCAGAGAGAACCTAGGTCTGTATGTGCAGTCGCTCGCAGGCGAGATGCTGAAGACCCACATTGCTCTCACGTCGTGCCCTCAGTTCTGGCTGGCTACCAGTGTTTCGTCCTTGCTCTTCCTCCTAGAACAAAATAAGGAAGTGCACGTTCTCTTCTGAAGCTGTGAAATGGAGTGTTTATTGTCAGGTTGATTGCATGCAGTTCACTGAGGGGGAAGTTGCGAGCCACTTGTATAAAAGGCCACAAGTTTCATTTGACATATAAAAAAAGAAAAGCTGCACGCTCGCAGCGTACAATACAAGGTAGCACGGACGAGCACAAGGGTAACAAACTGGAAATTCTATTATCATTTCCCACAGTACTAGATCACAATGTGTCACTGTGACTGTCAGTATAGCATGCATGGTCAGTGCCAAACATTTTCTTGTGCCACTGATGTAAAACTACAAAGGGCCATGGTCACTATATTCCCCTGTTGCCACAATGTAGTCGTGATTTAGAGTTTTCTGAATCAGGAAATGGGAGACGACTCTGGTCAGTACAGTGACTTAACCAATCTTTTGGTTTATCTTTGAGTGGGAACTGTTCTTTGCAGAGTAAGCTACAGTTCTCAGAAGTAATACTTGCATACACTGGTCTTGTTTAGCTGTGAAAAAAGAACAAATTATTGTTCATTAATCATCACCTTATTTATGACTTTAATTTATGGGATTTTTGAATGCATACTCTATCAAACACTGGTCATTTGAAACAGATGACTAGGCACATTTATTTTTCTCACTCTGTGAACTCCTCTCAATAAGTATTTTTGTTTTTCTCCTTGTTTATTTTACAGCAATACACTTTTTTTCTTTACTTGTTACAGTGATTAAGTATTTTTGCCAATGTCTGTTGTCTTTAGAGCGGGTGTATTTTTGTTTGTTTGTTTGTTTGTTTTTTTCAATTTAACCACGACTGCCAGGTTTTCTTGATGTTTTGTTTTGCTTTCTGTTAGGCTGGATAGAAGACGAATTAACATTGATCCTGAAACCTTTTTGTTGCCAAAACTGATGTACAGCTGGGGTATGGAATTTAAAATTGGTGCGTTCCCCCATGTACTGTAGAAGTTCTTTGAAGCTGATTTAATCATTTTATGGTTTATGTTTAGGTATTATGACTTAATTAGTCAGAAATTGAAGATTAGCTTTCAATCTCATGACAGATTAGAATCTTTGAAAAAAAATTACTGCCACTCATAACTCATGCTTCCAGGTATTGTTATGGGATGTTGAAATGTTTTGAATATCACTGTAAACTGGATCAGATTAACTCAGTCCCCAGGCAGCTGCTGTGTAGTCTCAGACCTACATTTGAGTATGGGGACGACTGCAGAAAAATTATGGAGAGACTTGTAGAGGAAAAAATCTCACTCTTTCTTTGTGTAGCACTTGCAAAAGAACAGCTATGTTGGTCTCAAAGTGACACTGAGTCAGTGAGTAGATCTGTGGATGAGCTACCTAAACTCAGAACCCATTTGCTTCATTGCTCAACGGCTGTTATTGAATATTGATTATGTGATTCTGTTGCAGTTCCTATGGGTATGATAAGCATTTTCTTGCATTTGACAAAGCTGCCAACCCAGTATCAGTTTGTGTCAGTTGTCTGCCATGTCTATTGGACCGACACACCTTTTGGTTTTTGTATGCTAACCTCTGTTGATAAAATGTTTATAAGATTTATTTTCGCCAAAGATATGCAATTGCATTATATATGGTATTACAAAATATTAATAAAAACCTGTTCTTGTTATTGCCGTCTGCATCTTTTTATTCTAGTCTGAGAAACAGGGCGACTTCAACGTTGTACCACTTAACATGTTTTTTTGTCCTCCAAGCTCTCCTCCACAACGTAAGAGTGCCATCACTTTACATTAGTAGCCTACTAGCCATTCGCTAAATTTTTTGATCAACATTGCCACCTGCTGAGAAGGCCACAAGATCAGCATTGTAGCTGCTAATGATCCAGGGTTCTCAGTTTTCACATAACCATGTTACAGCTGGCAAATATTTCCCACCAAGTCCAGCAGTTCAGCTCTGTTTTGACTGCACAAGCTGTGCTCAGCACTACGTGTGGCAGCTCCACAACATTTTCCCTTTTCTTCTGCATGTTTTTTGAAAGCACCAACATGGCAGGCTGCCAGAAATGCACCTCACATTAATGTAAATTCCAGGGCTGTGCCAGTGATGGATGCATCATCAAATGTGCTAACGACACTCTTCGCTGTAAGTTAATTAGTCATGGAGGACTGTGGGATGAACACAGTGTGACCCTGAACAAGGGCTTGTCTGACTAGCCTCAGGCCCATTGGCACAGCTCTATTGTTCAATAGAGTCCTGTGTGTCGACTGGAAGAGGGGGGCTTCTCCCTACTGACTGCCTCAATTCAGCTGGAAATCAGAGCAGCATCACCTCCCCCCCTCCCACACGGCCCTAGCAACCACGCCACGCCGACAGTTGCCAGGCAACCAGACAATGCTGGAGCCACTGGCTGTGGTGTGAGAGAGTTTGTGTTTTGCCTGTATACATTTAAGATCAGGAATAGTGAGACAGCAGCAGAGGAGAAACGAAGAAGCAGTAATTGTACGTGGGGAAAAATCTAAAGAGATTATTATGGATTAGGTGAAATTAATCGTGTAGGATTTGTGCAGTGACGGATGCATTAGCAACATGTCATTTCACTTCGAGTCCAAATGAGGTCATGTGCGTTTTAAAGGGAAATCACAGAGACTATCCTTGACAGTGCTACAACCCGCTTGTGATTTCTGACCTTGTTTTTGGTTAATGCAGCCCAAACAACGGCAGTAAATAATTCATCGGTCACATCACAGTACTTTATTGTAAAATTTAAAAAAACAGTAAAATTAGAAGAAAGGCTATCTATCTATCTATCTATCTATCTATCTATCTATCTATCTATCTATCTATCTATCTATCCTTTACTTAACTACAAAAAATACCTGTGAAAATACTACACAACACACAGCAGTAATGCATTATGCAGAATTTTTATTTTGATGAGAGTATCATATTATTTTGTATAATTGTGCTACCTATCTATCTATCTATCTATCTATCTATCTATCTATCTATCTATCTATCTATCTATCTATCTATCTATCTATCTATCTATCCTTTGAGGCCTTCAGACACTAGACGGCGCCCTCCTTCCAGCAGCTCACCACTTTTCTGTTTCTCAACTCTGACCTCTGTGTGCTTGTGTCTGTGCTCGGCTCTCATTTGAGGATTTTGCTGGTTAGCTGGAAAATGAAACTGTTCCCCCAGACGAATGGCCGTTTAAGGCTATATCGCTAGCTTAGCAGCAGCTACCCTTCACTCTTTAATACGATTAGCGGACGCCGCGGGGTGACTCGGCTCCTGTCAGATAATACTCACCTACATGTGTCGCTCGCTGTCGGGATTTGTTTTGCTACCTAGCTCGTTAGCTGTCGGCTAGTCGGCTAGCTAGCAGGCTCTGTCGCCGCTAATAGTGCTAACTTAAAAAAAAAAACACTACTGTCAAGTCGGAGTAACGTCCGGCTGCTAGCGTAAATCAGATGACCACCAAGCAGTTCATTTTCCGGGACTCATGACTGTTGCTCTGTGACAATGTACCCACGGTCAGTTTTCCCCAGTAACGGAACAAGCCACCCTGGAGTAGTTAATAATAACCGTGGGCTAACCGACCTGAGTTAGCCAGCATCCAGCGTCAACGTTTCAAGCAGCTGACGGTGTTGGAGCAGCTAACCGGATAGCCGTCAGCTAACTGGGCTAGCTAGGATACCGTTGTTTTTTTTTTGTTTTTTAGCATCAGCTGGAGAACTTTTCTAGCGACCATGGCTAACGTTACAGACCTGCAAACAAAATACAGCAAGCTGGCACAGGAGTATTCAAAGGTAAAATCGTGTGTGTTTGCCTGTTTAATGTTGCTCAATTGATAATACTTGTCATTGTTGGGGACACTGAGCTTAATAGAAACTCGCTGTGTACTATTAGCTTTAGCCACTTTTCAGTCACCTGACAAGAATGGTAAATGCTGTGCTAATATGTTTCATTACTCGTGTCGGTTACTGAAATCGACGAAGCAGACCATACAGACTGCTTGTCAGTGCAATAAAAGACACGAATTTGGGTATTAATACACTAAATATAGCTAATAAACTGTCAACTAGCAATAATCTCCTCCATGAGAAGGCAGTTTAAGGTGAATGTGCTAGTAAACAAACAGACAGTTGAGTGTACACCTTTATGTTATGGACATCAAAATAGTGTGCATGTCCAGATACTTCTGATCATGATGTGTTTTAGCTTGAATCTTGTTAATTTCAACTCCTCTAAAAAGTGAGTCCCTCCCATGCCTCATTTGAAGTAACTCAAAGACATGTTGTGTTCAAGGGCTGTACACAGTTTTCGTGGTTAATTTGTTATCAAGCGGCAGTAAAGCCTGTGTTTTCTCTTCAGAGTTATATGTGCCCTTTGTGTCTGTGTCAGCTGACATCACGGGGAGTGAGAGCTGTTTCCTCTTTAACTCTGATCTCCCCATTAGCCAAGCACCGTCTCCCGCTCAGGAAGTGCTGACTGTGCAACTGTCACACATCATGCTCCCTATTCTGCTTATTTTAGTGTGTGCTTAAAGGCTCCCAGCCGTGCAGTGAAGCACGATGAGTTTTAAATGTTACGGCGTCTCTTGAAATTATGTAGAGTAGAAGACGAACATAATGATGCACAAGCGTAGGACAGTACTTTTCTGTGTAAAAGCAAATGGGAATTGATGCAGGCTGCTGGATGCATATCACAATATTCTTTTTGTTTGAAAACTCCATGTGAATCTAAAGCCTGACCACTGACAACATCTTTTGTTGCATTTATGTTACATGTCACAGTATCTTGTTCTTTTTGTCTTCACAGCTCCGTGCTCAGAACCAGGTGTTGAAGAAGGCAGTTGTGGATGAACAGGCCAATTCTGTTTCATTAAAGGTAAAGTGACATTTTAAAAGAAAAAAAAAAAAGTGAATGCCACATCTGAAGTGTTACTTCTGATACAGTAACAACTATCGTTATTATGGGGTTCCAGACTGTCAGAAATTATACGTCTATCTATGAATAAATCAAGGTGCCAGTATTTCCCATATTTTTGAGTGCAAATGATTAATTAGGCAAAAGAGTTGTGTATTACTCCAATTTTGAGTTAGAACGCTTTAGCCAGCAACCACAAAACAGCTGTAAATAAATCTCGTGGGGCGTTTGTTCATATCAAACTAAAGTGCTCGTTTTTGCTACCCTCAGGCTCGAATTGCTTTTAAAGGTGTCTGACAACATTATAAATAAAAGATACAGAGAGAGAGACGTGTGTCCAACATGTAACAGAAGTCTCACAGGAGGAGAAGTCCCAGTGGTTTGTGTGGTGCATTTTCGAATTGTGGCAACAAAATGGCACACCAACCATTGCATAGTTTTCTAGGACATGCTGAAGTTGTGGCAAGCTTTGCTACAAATGGATGCACAGTACACCTTGTAGACCTTTGTCACCAGGGTGATTACTACCAGTCAAATAGAAGACGAAATCACACCAAAACACTTTTTTTTGTGAACAAAAATGCCGTTTAAAGAGTTTAGAAACCTGTTGCAGACAGAGTGGAGGTAATGTGATGTAGTTGACCTGTGGGCTGTGCTACAAAGTAAGACTGTTAGGTCAGTGAGTTATGTTGAGCCTAAAGCCAAGATTTCAGTGTCTGAACAGTGGCTCTTCTTTGACCTGACTTGGTCATCATAGTAAGTTTTTCTGCCCAGCGAATCTCATCCAGAGGAGGTTCTGTTCAGATTTGGGATTGAAACCGGCTGTACTTCTTGTCCTGACCATATTCTCTCTGAGTGATAGAGAGTCTCAGCTGATGGAATATGTTGTTTCTGCTAAGTCCATTTCTACACTGGTATGACTGCAGCCAATCTAACACAGATGTCATTCATCAGTAACATTAATTTTGCTGTTTTATTTCTACTTTTTTTTTTTTTTTACTGAAGCAAGGTCTACATATCCATCATTCTTGGACGGTGTCAGATCGAAATGCACTTAATGAGTATTACTTTCAAATGTATGAAGTTTAAAGTTCTAATAGTTCTAGTTCTAATATGCAGCTGTCATGTTAGAAATAAGCAATTGCATCCAGAGTGCACTGAATGGTGAAATACGTATAATAACTTTCACTGCACCATTTGCAGTGACGCCGCTTTTTTATCTTCATACATTTTTTCCATTTCTCGTAGCTCTACATTATACCTGTTCCTCTTTGCTGAAGTAGGTGGCATACCATCAGTCCATTTTGTGCAGAAGAAGAGTCAGCTGAGCCTCAAACCCTTCTCTTTTATGGGAGCCTGCAAAGAGCCTGATGAAGACACCTGGGATAACAAACATCCTTAAGAACCTTAGACTTAGACAACTTTATTGTCATTCAAGATACACAGGTGTACACCGAACAAAATTTTGTTACATTGGCTCACAGTATTTGGAAAATATTAATAAATATAAAAGAGTATAAATTAAAATTTCAATTAGCAGCATAGTTAAGAATTTATTAACAGAGTGAATGCAATGTACACGAGTGAATTTGAATTTACACGTAAAATATCCATACAGCTATACAAGAACTGGGGTTACATGAGTGAGTAAGGGGACCGTTCTGAGTTTATCAGTCTGATAGTCTGGGGGAGAAAGCTGTTTCAGAACCTGGAGGGTTTGCACCGAATGCTATGGAACGTCTTTCCAGAGGGCAGGAGGGAGAACAGTCCGTGGTGGGGGTGTGAGGGGTTATTCTTGGCACGAGAGGTACAGCGCTTTAACGCAATGAACCTCCGTCTTGATACACGTTTCACTGATTGTGGTTTTAGGTTTTGTCGAGTCCACTTATACAGAAAGGCTTGGCTATGTCAAACTTGCTTCATTGTGTACACCCCTGGCATCAGTACAAACAGAAGCCTGGCAGGATAACAGCCAAGTAGCCACTCAGTAACCAGCAGTATGTACACATGTCCTCTGGTACTACATTGTAGATCTTTCGTGGTTGTCGGTTATAACATTCTCGCTCAATATTGGACCAATTACAAAGATTTTGTTCTTATTAATAATGTTCACCCAGAAATATAAGGGAAAAAAGCCCAGTTTTAAAAATATCAGAATTACCCTTTAAATGCTTCATATTTGCTAAACAAATCCAGATGTCCAGAGATCACCTAATCTGATTAGTACTTGTTGCAGTGATGCTATTAGTTATGCTGGAGTTGCACAATGACAACAGAGTGGCTTCACTGTGATTTTAGAGGAAGTGATTTGCTTCATGCATTAGTTTTTTAAAAAGATGTGTTATTCATTATACTCGTATTCCTCCCTAATCAGGAGCAGCTGAAGCAGAGGGACCAAAGCCTTAGGAAGCAGGAGCAGGAGATGGACAGTCTCAGCTTCAGGAACCAGCAGCTGGCCAAGAGGGTGGAGCTGCTACAAGAGGAGCTCGCTGCTAGTGAAGCCAAGGGCAAAAAGGGGAAGGTGATGATGAGGGGAAAAACAAGGGAGTGGCTTCGTGGTTGGGTAGAGGAAACTGGATGTGTGATATGTTTTTTTTTGTAATGATCGTAAAATTAATCTCATAGCAAAAACAGTATTTTTGAGAGGGATTATGGAATTTGCGAGCTCCATAATTATGAGCATTATACAGTAATGTTTGTGAAGCTAACACATCATTAACAGCTCCTTATTTCCTCTAGAGCAAAGGAGACTCTCCCTCACAGCATGGTTTACAGACCCAGAGTGTTTTTGACGAGGACCTGCAGAAAAAGATAGAAGAAAATGAACGACTTCACATCCAAGTAAGCAGCCACGTTGTATTTATGTTGATCAGTTGTCTTTGTTGTTGCACATACAGTATTTTAAATGAAATAATTGCTGCTGTGCATTAGTTCTATGAAGCAGATGAGCAGCACAGGAGGCAGGAGGCTGAGCTGAGAACACGACTAGAGGAGCTGGAGAAAGATGCTGAGCAGCATCAGACTGTTGTGGATGGACTCACCACGAAGTATGTGGACACAATTGAGCGGCTGCAGGGTGACAAAGCACGTTTAGAGGTGAGGATCACCCGGAGGAGGAGGAGGAAGAAGTGTGTTTCGTGATCGTCAGCCTTGATAGAGTTTATCAAAATGTTTGTTCTTTCCCTTTCTCCTGACAGGTGAAATCACAAACGCTGGAGAGGGAAGCAAAAGAGTGTAGGATGCGAACAGAAGAATGGTACATCTACCGTTTGTTTACAAATTGAGAATATTTCAGTCCACCACTGTGGAGATAGAATCCAGAGAGGTGCAGCTGACTAGATTTGCAGGCAATGCATGTACATACAGAGGTACAGCATTGTTCAGGTATTCTGCTCTGGTGGGAACTGTGTACAAATTACCAACTGTATATATTAGTGTTAAAATGATCTTGGAAATTATAAGATGTTACCTTTCTGCCCTGATTATGGTTAACATTTTCTGTATGGTAATGTGTAAATGTTTTATGATTAAAATTTTTGCTCATTGCAGTTTACTCTCAACCTGAAATACAATGAATATAATATGTATTATTTATTAAAATGCATATTTTAATCCACCAAACACTTTTGGTCTCCCCCCTGCAGTCAGCAGCAGTTGAGGCGATGCCAGTCAGAGCTGAACAGACAGGTGAAACAAAGCAGCAGTGTTATCCAGGAGAAAGTGCCCTTCAATGACACCAGTGAGTATCTGGCACTAAGCCACTTGGACAAAAACAATCTGCTACAGAACAGACATCCATTTGAGAACACTTATGTCTTTGTCACTGATACCATAACAACATGCTGCCCTGGAGTAAGCACTGTAATGCTACACCAAACTGTAATATTGCACCGAAGGAGGCAGGAGACTAAACCATTTAAACTATGTTTGTTGAGTCAATAAAGTTCAGTGCAGGGGCTGAGGTTCTGCTCTGGCTTAACTGCTTTTCTCTCCTACTCTGCAGAATTTAGCGACTACAACAGCCTAAACGTGCCATCACACAATCGAAGGCACCAGGTGAGTGAGAAAAAAACACGTTAGTTATTTGAATTGCTAATAAAGAGTAGCACCTCAAGGTCCATCCGTCCTCATTGAAATTAGGGCGGAGCAATTAACAGAGTTAAAAGAGTCAAAGCTTTCCTCTTTTATTGCTTTTCACTGTTGAATCATTGTCTGGTTAATTTGACCTGACTATTTTGGCTTGAAATCAGATTTCTACAAAGTTATGTGAGTTTATTCAAAATGTAAAATAAGTGATTGTGTAAATATTCACTCCCTTCAAGTCAGTATTTAGTAGATGCACCTTGGGCTGCAATTACTGCGTTGAGCCTATGTGGTTAGGTCTCTGTCAGCCTTGCACATCTAGACGTTGCAATTTTAAGCCATTCTTTTTTTTTTGTTTGTTTGCAAAACTGCTTGAGCTCTGTTAGTTTACAATGGGATTGTGACTAAACAGTTTTGTTTAAAGCAAGCCAAGCCTGTGGTCTGGGCTCTGACTTGGCCGCTCCAGAACATTCACCTTGTTGTCTTTAAACAGTAACTGTGTAGCTTTGGCTGCATGCTTTGGGTCGTTGTCTTGCTGGAAAACAAATCTTCCCCCCGAGTTGCAGTTCTTTTGCAGATGGCATCAGATTGTCCTTCAGGATTTCCTTATACTTTGCCTTTACTGAATTAGTTTGACCCTCTATCTGTACAAGCCTTCCAGGGAAACATTCTCACATCGTGATGCTGCCACCACCGTGCTTCACAGTGGCGATGGTGTGTTTGTGATGATGTGCCATGTTTAGTGTCTGCCAAACATGTTTAATCTCAAAAGCAAAGATTTGGCTTGACAGACCAAAAAAACCTTCCTTCAGTTGCTGTCATGGAGTCCCATTTGCCTTTAGGTGACCTTTCATCAATATTTAATAAAATATTTTTTCAACAGAGGTTTCTTCTTTTCTACTCTCCCATAAAGCTATGGCCAGGCAACAGTTCTTGCAAGCACAGTCTCTTCCATCTTAGCCGTTTAAGCTTCTAACTCCTTTAGAGGAGTCATAGGTCTACCTCTTTAGTCCTTTTCTTGCATGGTAACTCAGGCTGCTCTAGGCAAACTTGTGCATGTATCCTATTGCTTACATTTCTTAATGATCGATTTAACTGTACTCCAAAGTATATTCAGTGAGTTGGAAATTTTCTAGTATCCATCCGCTGACTTATGCTTTTCAGTAACCTTTTCATGGAGTTGCTTGAAGTGTTCGTTTGTCTTCATGGTGTAGTTATATCAAGGAGTACTAATTCATGTGTGACTGGACCTTCCAGATACACGTGTCTTTATACTACAATCACTTGAGACACATTCACTGCACTCAGATGATCTCCTTTTCACTAATCTTGTGACTTCTAGCACCATTTGTCTGCACCTTTCTTAGATTTGGCGAGTCACTTTAAAGGGGGTGACTGCTAATGCAATCACTTATTTTATATTTTACATTTTTAATTAATTCTTGTTAAAAAAGACAAATGAAATGGACTAGAATTCAATGTTAAAAAGGTAATAAAAAGGAAAAACTTCCAAGTAGGGTAGCGCTGTAAACCCTCGGTTGGTCTTGGATAGCCTTAGATAACATGTTTGTGAACATAATGCTAAATCACTTGCAGACAACATAATATTTCTCATCTTTTTTTCTTTTTACAGTCAATTGAATTTAAAGATTTAAAAACTACATCAGTTAAATGATATTTTGGAAAACAGTTCAATAAATACATGTTTCCACTACAATACAATAGTACTCTCGTATTCACAAATGCCATCATATCAGCTTGGTTGCAAACTGTGTCACAGATGGATTCATACAGTGTTATGTGCTTAGAACTCTACTGTAACAGTTGTCTGTGGATTGTGCTGTCTTTCTATTGATTCAGCTTAAGGCCCGTGATGTGGCTGGACAGGCCCTGAGCTTTATCCAGGACCTGGTGGCTGCTCTGTTGAACTTCCACTCCTACACAGAGCAGAGAGTACACATCTATCCCCTGGATTCCTCCATTGAGCCCATCTCTCCGCTTAACCAGAAGGTGAAGCAGCCGTACACATGAAATACAGACAGTGCCAAATATGATGTATACTGCATGAGGCAGGAACACAGACTCCACATATGGAGTGGTATTTATTCAGATGTATAATTCCTCTCTTATCCTAGTTTTCTCAGTATCTACATGAAAATGCAGCCTATGTGCGCCCCCTGGAGGACAGCTTTCTGCAGTTATACCAAAACATCACAGAGGACACTGTCACAGTACTGGTGAGTTTTGGACAGGGGGATTTGGATACTTGTTTAAAAATGAACCACTAATTGTGTTTATTTGTTGTTGTTTTTCTGAATTGAAGGAGACTGTGGTCAAGCTGAAGAGTTTTGCTGATAATTTCTCCACGTACACACACTTTCTGCAAAAGATTCTCCCCTACCAGCTGAAAAGGTCAGCGCCGTGTGTGTGAGACAGAGATAGAGTAATGGAGTGGAGGATGCTGTAGCGATGTTTATCTTCTCTCTTGCTTTCAGCCTGGAAGAAGAGTGCGAGGCCCCTCTTTGTACTGCTGCCCTCACTGCGAAAAACAAGGAGTTGCAGAGTGACATGAAGAGAGTAACATCTGTGTTTGAGAAACTGCAGAACTACATTAACCTTTTGGCCTTACCCAGTAGGTTAACACAGGACATTTGCACTCTTTTTTTTTTTTTCTTTTTTCTCTGAAACGTCTGCCACTTATCACAGTCCAGTGTTGGAGTTATTATTTTACTTAGTCATGTAAATAATAGTATTTTTTCTTGAAAATACAATTGATTTGCTTGTTTTATATAAAGCAGAGGCTTATGAAGTGAGGATAAGACATGCGTGTTTTACAAATGTGTGCATTGTGTGACAGGTGTTCAGCAGGATGCCATGCCACAGAGCAGCACCTCAGCTGTCTTCACCCAGCTGGCTGCCTGCCTACACAGTCTTCATGACACCATTAAAGGTGAGCAGCACTGTTACCCATTTTTGACCCGAAGCTATTCACACACAGCACGATGATTCCCTCACGCAACCGCTGAGCTGCTGTTGCCATTCATAAAAGTCAGACTTGCTTTCTGTTTTCACAATCCGCCGCCCTCCCACTTTGGAAGAGTAAACATCCAGAGGCTTCGGTGTAGCTTCTCTCACACTGCGACACCAAATGGAAGTATAATCTTCTGCTCTTTGGAGAAGAGTCACATTTTGTGCAGCTGACTCATTTCGCTAAGTGAAAATGGGTTTATGTAACAAGTACCTTGGTGTTTTTGAGAGTGATTGCGGTCAAATATACACTAAAAACCTGCACTTTTACAATCTGACAATATTGTGCAAATCTAAAGCATATCATTTACACATCAGCCGGCAAGGAAGTGGCATAAAACAGCTGCTTTTTGATCTCAGAGGATGATTAAAAATGCCATAACTACATAGTGAAGCTGAAGGATACACTTAAAGCTGGCACGTGCTGTAAATGCCTCTCCTGTTGTCCTCTTTGCTCTCTGTGTGTCTAGAGATGTCAAAGCACTACAACCAGAAGGCTGGCATTGAGCAGGAGCTCCCCACCGTCACCCAAAAGCTCTGTACCACCACAGAGTGCCTCCTGGGGTCTTTGGGTTCGCTTACCAGCAGCACCGGCAAGGTATGGCCAACAGGGGGCAGACAGCAGCCAGGTTTATATTACCTCCATTGTATTTCGAAGCAGTGTGGCTTAGTTATTAGCTGTAAATGCATAAAAGCTTAATTGTAAGTCGCAGCAAATTTTCACTGCAACTGGATCAGATTGGTAAATTGCCACTAATGTGATAACACGGAACAGCGGGACTCAGGTGGGTAGTGGTTTAATGTTGAAAGATGCTGTCCAAATCACAGTTTGTACAGCTGCTCCCCAGTCAGAGTAAAGGGATAAATGATTTCTCTTTGTGAATCAAGTCAATTGTTGGCTGTGATGTGTCTGCTGATAGGAGGCACAGTCTGCTGGGTTGCAGCACTGAATACAATAACACGCATTCGCATGATGTGTGCAGCGAGCTGCGTTTTCAGAGCAGGCAATAGCTTAATTGCTCAGACATTTATCATCCTGGACACTTGGTGGTGGAATCGTCTCCCTGCTGTAAACACTCTCGTTAATTTGAGGCTACACAGAATGCTGAGTATCTGCGTTGAGGAATGTAGACATTAATTAGTGTTTCTTTAGCTGGGGGAACTGCAAAGATCTTTTTTTTTTTTTTTTTGCTTGAGTGACATGATACATAATATCACATTAATTTGTTGCAGATTGCCACTTTCTTCAGCAACAACTTGGACTTCTTCACATCATCGGGCTACAGTCCAAGAGGTTGTACAGTAGCACTCAATCCCTTGCAAGCAGAGAGCATGCTGGCCAACAAAAAGAAAGCAGCTGCCTATATCAGTGCTATCAAAAAGGTCAGTACATTGTTAAATCTGCTAGTTATTAGCACGTTTCTTCTGGTGCCCCTAGACTTTGAAACACTCTGACTGTTGAGATTACACAGACTTTAAGAAAACCTTTGTGAATATTTTATGTTTCAGGCTGTTTTATATCTCTGCATTTGCTACTTTATGCTTTTATCTTTGTTTTTTATAATTCATTTTCTTGTTTTTGTTTTGCTTTTTTCTTTACTAAGCCCTTTAAGAGCAGTGCTGCCCAATTAAAGTTCTTGAGGCATCTTAGATGCATATTTTGTGTGAATACGTGATTGTTTCTCCCATTATTTTACCATTTTGTTTGTTTATTCAGGCCAGACCACAGTCTGTTCCATACAGAGAAGCCCTGTCAAACCGTCGTATTCTTACCAGCTCCACTGAGAGCAGAGAGGGTCTCACTCAGCAGGTAGGGCACTCAGCTTGAGCGCTCCTTGAATCCTTTTGACAATTTCTCCAGTCACTATTTAAAGACGTTACATCTGCTCACGAGCTACAATCAGGCACTCTTTGTGGTCATTGTGACTATGTATGAGTCAGAGTGGCAGCCAGGTTTGGTTTGCCTAAATGCAGTGTTATAACAAGAGAGTTAGAGTTAAAAATGGTTCCACGTGCAAGCATGTTTACTGTGGTTTTGTCTTCTTTGGGTCATATTGACATTAAAGAAAAAAAAAAAAAGATGTGGGAAAACAGGAGACAGCAAAACAACAGTGTCAGTAGTTGCTGATAAAACACTGAGAACTAGTGCAAAAATCTACAACGCAGTCATGTAACAGTCTAGATGAGTTCCAGACAGTTGGACTTTAGGGACAGGGTGTGAAGGATTGAGAAGCTTGGCTAGTGAGTCTGTGCACACTATGTCCTCAGCAATGGTTTAATTTGTTATTTTAAATGGACCTGAAGTTTTTATATCAATATGCCACTTTATCACCAAGTTTAAAAAATGTTAAGTCAAAAAATGAATGAACCGCTACTTTTGGACTACTGGGATTTTTCCCAAAGAGCTCAGAATCATTTTTCTTTCAGGAATAACATTTTCATTGTGATTCTATTGATCAGAGTAAAGTCACAAAACATGTTTTTGCAATCTATACTGAATTATTACAAACTGTTTTGTTACATCGTTTCGGTGCCCCTTTCACTTCTCCCAGCCTTTACTCAGCCGTCTCTCCACAAGCTCACGGTCCACTCCTCTTCTCTTCCCATTGGCCTCCTGCAGGTGCAGCAGAGCCAAGAGAAGATCGCTCGGCTGGAGCAGGAGAAAGAGCACTGGCTCCTGGAGGCCCAGCTGGGGAAGGTGCGGTTGGAAAAGGAAAACCAGCGCATTGCGGACCTGGAAGCGCAGCTTGCAGCAGCTTTAGGAGGAAGTCCAAACTCACAAACAGCTGCAGCCAGCACACTCGCACAGAGCCAAGAGGAAGCAGAGACAGAGCTGAGAGCCACAGGGAAAGAGACGACGTTGTGCACCAGCCTGGTACAGTTACTGCTCAGGCTCCTGTTCGTTTGAGAAGAGATTTTGGTGCCCATGGCACTGGTGTCTGATTTGCTTCCACAAAGGGACTATTATTGTTCTTTTCTTGTAGCTCCCACGCTAAGCCAGTTTTTGCTTAATAAAACTCAGATTTCCAATGTGCTGACACAGCGGAATACAAGAATACTGTTGTTCATGCAAGTCAGTGCAGAGTTCACAGTGCAGACACAATCCAGCACAGTTTGTTTTAGTCAGCACACTACTTGTGTTTTAGCTTCTGTTCTTGTTATCTCATGTGTTTCTCGTTTGACCTAGCAGAGGCCTGTCTGTGCTTGAAGTGGATTTTTTTAACATCTGACTTCAAATCGCTGACATGTTATTCTGTTTTGTCACCAGGTTGGCATGTTGTGCACAACACCTACAGTGGAGCATGTGAGTTGCCATACACTTCACAAAATGACCTTTTTAAATGAGTAGCTCCTAAATACAAAAATCAGTGTTTGAAAAACAGTATTTGGCATCATAAAGCTTCTCTAATGGGAAAAAAAAAATGTTTGGTGGGATGTTGTGTCTGTATTTGCAGGTGGGAGATGAGGAGTCCAGGGAGCAGCTGATAAAGACTCACTACATGGCCAGAGTGGGAGAGCTCACCACTCAGCTCCAGATTTCTGATAGCAAAGCTGTGCACTTTCACTCTGAGGTGAAGCCCTTACTATAGTGTTCATCTTAGTAACTTTATCTTACAGGAAAGAAGTGACCTTTTCATATCACACTGCTTCTTTAACATTGCATGTCATCTGAGACGAGATATGGAAACTCTTACATCCTTTCGCGCTTTCAAAATGGTTCTTTAGTCCCATTATTACCAAGTGTTCTCTTTATTTAGGAAGAAACTGACACCCAGTATTTTTTGTATTATGTTGAGGCTTGATCTGAATGTAGATAGTTGTCGAAATGACATCTTGCCGCATTGTGACTAACCGACATGTCAGTCGGCTTTATTTTGTGTTGTTGCAACAGGAATGCACCTGATCTTGAGTCAGCTTCTCAGCTATTAAGTTGTCAGTTTTTTGAATTGTCCATTTGTCTTTGACATTGCTCTCAAATATACCCATTACTCACAGAAATGTCTACTTTCATTGCAGCTTCTGCAGCAGATCTCTGGAGCGTGCCAGACATGCTTTAAACCCATCAGGGGACAGCCGTTGTTTACTTTCCTCTTTTTCTTTGTAGTGTCGAGCTTTGGCTAAGAGATTAGCCATTGCAGAAAAGTCACGGGAGACTCTGAGTGATGATGTCAAACTGGCTAATCAAAACATCACACGCTTGCAGGTACGATGCACTTTCATTGCCAAAAAATGTCCCGTCTGTAATATAGCATCATACATTTCCAATTCAGAAAACATTCAGATTGTAACTGGAGTGTGTCTCGCATAGGACGAGCTGGCTACGACAAAGAGGAGCTACGAAGACCAGCTTAGCATGATGAGCGACCATCTGTGTAGTATGAATGAGACTTTGAGCAAGCAGAGAGAGGAAATCGACACACTCAAACTGGGCAGCAAGGTACAGCACTGAGAAAGAGTTCTTTTCCTTTTTAATTCAAGCTCCTTTCAACATGTTTGCCTTTCAAAATTTCGGTTCACTCTCAGGTTTGTTGTCAGCTGTGCCAGTCTCCATATAAACACATAAATCCAGAGAATGTGAAGCGTCAGTTGGCAGGAAAATGTGACATTGTAAAGTTTCTGTCGGTTACGAGGTGAGCTGGGAGGTCATCGGTGGTGTTGTGGTTGCCGCTGGGTTTGATGGGAAAAGCACCTGCTGGAGACATCTGAAAAAGTCGTTAAGCTAAAGCAGCAGCAAAGGAGAGGCCTGTTTTTGTGCATGCATGTTCCTGCATGTGTGCACACAGATGGCTGCAGGTTAAGAAGCTGCAGGCCGGGACATGTTTGCGATCTAAAGGTGGCGATTTTCTCTTGAAGGCCAGCAACCAGCCTCGGCATGTTTTTAGATATTGTAAGCAGAATGCAAACCTGAGCTGTCGCAGCCTACTGCACCTAAATGCAACACAGGAATTTCAATTCTGGATGGTGACTTGTTTTACATTTTTTAGAACTAAGCCTGTTTGTTTTTTTTGTTTCCTTTAGGGAAATGCCAAAAAGAACAAAGGTCGCTAGAGCTGCCTTTAAAACTCTGGCTCCATTTGGCATCACAAAGGGCACCTTGGGAGAAGATCTGTGCTGTGGAGCCTCCCAGCAGCGTCGCGGTACCAACACTGTCACCAAACCACGGGACGGTTACATGAGCCTCAGATTCCTCCACTGCAATGCAGTATCAATACAAATGAACTGTTTGGAGGCTTAAACATGTTTGACTGAAAAAAAGCTTTGTTTTTCCCCTTTTCTTTGTCACAGCACCAGTTAAAACATAACACAATTTGCTTAAAAAAATGCTTTCTGAAACTGTACCAGAACTTGACCTTTGGGTCAAAACACAGCTGGAGAGAAACAGCTTTTCCCTCAAAAAAAAGGGGGGGAAAGGAAAATAAACAGCTGAAACAGTTGAAGTTGGTAATGCTCACTGAAGTCAAGACTTGAAGACCAAACCCTGTTAATCAATGTGTGTAGTTTTCCTGCTTATTGTGTGTGTGTGTGTGAGTGAGAGAGAAAATGAAGCTGTGCATTCTTACTGCTTATCTGTGGGAGTAGGCAAACAGAGTAAATGTCGGTGCAGCTGTATGTGTGCAGAGTGTTGTGTCATTGTGTGACTACGGCACCAGGCTTTTAAAGATGAGTATTGTTTTACAATTAAATTGTTTTAGATCCAGTTTGGGATTATTTGCGCAAGTCGTTCTAAGGACAAGTATGTCTAACTAGAGCAAAATGCCCCGTCTAACAAATGCATATATCACAAGCTTCTGTAAAGAAGGGCTTTTAAAAACCTGAATGAACAACTAACAAAGATGCACTTGAATTCATTCCTCACTTTGGGAAAAAAAAAAAGAAAAAAAAACTTTCAGTCCCCAGGGAGTGGAGAAAAGAAAAGGAAAGATGTCTGCCTTCAAGCACTGATTAACTGTGTTTACCTTGATGGAAATGGATGGACAAGTTAGAGCTCGTGAAATGGTGTCAGTCTGTCTCTGTAAAGTTACTCTGTAACACTAGTCATTTTTATCACCAAAGTAAGTGTGGCTGTGCACTCAGAGGCCCGGTGTGGCTCGACAGTCTCTAAATTAATGTTGTAATATGTATGGATGAAAAGGGTTAATGTGAATATACACTCATTTGAAATCATGATGTAATTGTACTGTATAATTTCTAAAAAGAATATATATATATATACAAAAAAAGCATTTATTCAGAAGTTACAAATCTTTATTTTACACAAATATTGAAAACTGAATCTGCAGTTAGTTTTTTTTGTGTGTCTCCTATAAGGCTGGATAACTGCGAAGTGTCATAAAGGGATTGGCCCACACTGTAACTGGTGCTTAGACAATTCGTGAGTCATTGCAGAGGGCAGTTAAAGTTTACAGTAAAATAGAACCTCGCTGGCTTGTAGTGACATGAGGTACACGAGAAACAAAAAAAAAAAAAAAAAGACCCAGCAGTGCTCATGAGCAGTTCATTCAAACCTCTTGTTTGCCAGTCTACAGCTGCCAGCAGACCTTTGATCACAAGGATTTGCCCACGCCCTCTAAAGTGATCGCAAGAAGAAAAAAAAGAACAAAACTTGTATTCTCACAATGTAACCTGTTGAAAAGCACATATAAATATGTGAAACAAATAAAGAGCTTGCTCAAAATTTAAACGCTTCATGTATTTAGATTCACTTGGCTATTAACGATCCTTAAACGTGGCTGACGTGACTTTGTTTTGTATTTTTTGAGAGTTGGAAGAAACTGAGATTTTAAATCATCTGTAATTTTTTTTAAAAAACCCTGCCTGTAACACGCCCTGACATCTGGGAAATGAGGCAGCACCATTAACTGGACACATGAGAACTAGAAGATTAGTTTTTGATGCCGTCACTTGTTTTGGAAGGGTAGACATAGCATTTTGTTAGAATTCATGGTGCGTTCAAGTGCTGTTTGTGCACGACTTCAGAGGTCAAAGTAATAAAACTAATAACTGACGCTTTTTTTTTTGCACATTTAAGAGCTACTGTGTGGTAATACTGGAAAAATAGCTCTAGAGAGACATTTTTGTAGTTATAGTGGTTGCAGAACTAATAGAAGAACATAGAAGAGACTGGGAGGTATTGCAATATATCAGTACTGATGATAACCCTGGTATTTAAAAAATGAATCCAGTGACTTTCCAACATTTAAACAACGTACAGTTCATTTATGGTCACAAACACTCTCTTTACCCCTCTACAATCATATTTTGAGTGGCATTTGTGAGATAAAACACACAATAAACTTAATTAAAGATGAATCTCACAGATTTTTCTATATATTTCATATATACATTTTATATATATTGTGGAAAAGAGACATACATGGTGGTGTGTAAGCGGCTCACCAAAATATCCGGTGCATTGTTATATACTTGTCAAGAAAGACATAATGATGACAGGATAAGACTTGAGGTACTTTCTCACAAAGTTGAATCAACATAATGAAAGGGCAAATAGGTGTCTCTTTTCATTCTTTATGAGCATATAATTATTGTTGTATTTTTAACCCTCCTATAAGTGCTGTGATTTACCCTTTTGTTCTAGTCCCTGCTTTGCTAAACCCTTCATAAAGAATTGCAACTCCGCCATTAAACTAAAGATGTAATGTGATATTATATATGGACCTATTGAACCAGCCTGTACTGTGACTTCCATGCATGGGCGTAAGTTTTATTTCAACACTGAGGGGGAAGCACGTTAAGTGTGGGTGTCGGGGCATCCTCCATGAAACTGTGCACATAAAACATTTCCTGATTGATTTGTATGTGACAAGTTGTATCTTATTTGTTTTGTTTGTTGTCTAAATGTCTTTATTTATGTAAAGAAAAATACAAAATTCAGGCACCAGGTAGCAATTCAAAATGTGATGAACTATAATGCAGTAAAGCTCTCAGGTATTCTATATTTAGTTCAAATATTTGTTCTCCTTTAGATCAACTTTCCTCATTAAATATGATCCCTGCTGAGTCAATGCACACAGGTAGGATTTGAAACTCAGAGTTCCTTTTGTGTCTTTTGTTTTTAAATGAGCATATGGTCTAATTACACACAAAATGCCACTGAGACACCTTCCTCCAGTGACTGTACATATCAACTATGTACATGGTCTCTCTGTACAGACTGTATATATCTTCCATATCATATGAACTGTTCTTACTGTAATTTATTTGTTTTTGTGTTTACTTTTACCTATGTTTATATTGTTATCTATCGCACTTATATACATTTTGCACATTCCTTTACTTGCGTGCACTGTTTATACAGCGTATGCAACACCATCATGTTACACTGTTTTCTCTTACAGCTCTGCAAGTGCGATAACAAAATGCAACACACTTTATTTTTCTTTGTATGACTTCTCAAGTGCAGTAACACAATGTAGCACTCTTTAAAACGTTTCAAGCACCATTATACATCCATCTATTGTGCCATATCCATGTACGTGCACATCTGTACATGTAAAAGGTGTCTTTATTATGCTGTTATCTTTGTTGTGCTTTTGTATTTCTTGTCTTACTATGCTTCATTTCAGCTCCTGTAAGGTGTAAATCCCCTGTTAAAACTGCTCATACTGTACACATCTTAGCACATTCATGTCATTCTGCCAATTCATTTTGCATTGCATTGTACTTTTATAGTCTTTCTTTGCAACTCTGATTAGATTCTAAACTGCATTTTGATGTCTTAGTGGGCCACTTAGCACTCTGTGTAATGACAGTAAAGTCTAATCTAATCTCTATGTACATGTGGCACCGATTCACATCCAGTACAGATTTATTTTCATTAAACCGATGCCTGTGGTGACTTGTGTGGTGTTTACAGTTACACTTTTAATCCAAAACTCAGCAATCAGGGTGATTGTAAAGTGTAATTATTGAATATTGGAGAAGGGGTAGGATTAAATAAGTTTTACTTCTTCCTACGCCTTTTCAGACATGTTAGCTAGTTACGTTGGTTATATGTGTTATGTGTGTGAATGTATGCGTATGTGTGTATATATAGAGAGAGATAAGTGTGTATATATTGGGTATAGATTTATTTATTTTGTGTATTTTATGTGAGTATGTGTGTATATATGTATGTATATATGTGTATATATGAAGAGTTCATTTGCAAAAACCGATAACTTCATTTTTGTAGGTTTTCAGAAAACTTATTTTTTTGTTGTTTGCTTGAGATGATATCAATCAAACTGAACTTGAGTGGATTTGACTCAGTAGAAATGACATGACAAAAATAGAGATAACTTAAGTTTGATATTGTCTCAGGTAAATGATGGAAAAGTGGATTTCCTGAAGGTTTGTAAAGATGGAGTTATCTGTTTTTTCAAATGAACTCTTTATATGTATATATGTGTGCATAATTTCTTATTCGTGTTCTTGTTTTTTTGTTCTTTCTTTTCTTTTTGTGTATGTTGGTACACTGGGTTTCCTACAATGGTTTTGACATGTCTGAAATTAATAAATCAAATCAAATCAAATCAAATCAAAACCTCAACTTAGAAATGCATTAAAGGCAACACGTTAATTTGTCACAACATGGACTTACAGAAGTAAAACATGTGTGCATTGCTTCTTTTTAACCGCCAGGACACAACCAACAGGCCTATTATCATAATTATTTAGCCTCCAGGTGTGACTTTATGGCGTTTCCATTCCCCCACCAGCTGAGATGTGCGCAACCCGTCTGCCGATTCCCACATTTCCCAACATTCCGCGAACGCAGCAGCGCCGTGTCGAGTCCCGCGGTGTCCCGTTGGAGGACAGTCTGTGTGAACTCGGGAGGGGAAGCGCCGCGCTGTTAAAACTCCCAGGATTTACACTCTGCCATTTTGAGCAAAAAACCGGCCGACGTCGGAGTTCAGACGTGTCCATCACGCAGAAGTCATGACCTGAAACCAACAGCACCGAAACTGTGAGTATTTCTACCTTTTCGGTCGCACTCACGCCTCTTGTTTTTTTTTTTTTTTTTTAAGTGAGAGCTGCTTTAGTTCGGGTCAGAAACGACCCTAAAAGTGTTTCGGGTCTCCTCTCGGTAACTCTCAGTCATGGGTGAACGGCGCAAGTACGAGAAAAGTAACGCGGAGTGACAACTTTACGCAGAGTTGATGCGTCAAAACAATGGCGCAGAGCTTGAACCCAGCAGCGGGCCCCTCTTGTTCGGGACACGGGCCTGGCTCTGTTGTGGATGACAGCATGCTGGTACTGTTTTCTTTCTCCGGTCCAGAGTTGCCATAGGCGAAAAAAAACAAAATGTTGTTTACCGGCGTGTGTGTGTGTGTGTGTGTGTGTGTGTGTGTGGCGTTTAGTGACCCCACGCTGCGTGTAACAAAAGTGAAGCAGTGTTTAAAGACGAGTTTCCACATGAAGGATACTTTTAAACGCAGCTGTAGATGACATTAATCTAAAATGTGACTTCTTAATTTCATGGGAACTTTTTTTTTTTTTTTTAAAGAGACTGTAACTTTTGTTGAACAGCAGCCACTTCAGCAGTAATGGAAAATGCTAAAACACAAGCAGAAGTTGAGTCATTGAGTCAGTAAACTGGCTCAGCTGTGTCAGAAATATTTAGCCAACAGCAGCTAACATTTAGCAACCGAAAGCTAGCACTCCAATAAGTGAGGCTGCAGCAAAAATAAATAAAAAACCCAAGTAGCAAGTTGTGATTTATTGCTTCTGAATTCTCCTTTAATTTAGCAAAGGGAGGGATGTGTGACTTCTCTCAGAAGTGGCACACAGAGTGTTTCCCATAAGTTTTTATTAGTTTACCCCTAAATGCCTGAGATAAGAATCAATCATTAGTACTTGCACATTCCTGCTCATTTTTTTCGTGCTTTTCAGCACTGGAACAAATCTCTATAATCATTGCAGAGAATCCTGGTTTTGAAGTGAAGCTTTGGATATAAATACGAGCCCGCCTGTAGTTTTCTTTTTACAAGTTCTACGCTGCAGGGCCTTCAGCGTTGATCATTTTGTTTGAATTTTATCATAGAGCTTAAATAATTACAGCATCTGCCAAAAGACAAGTCTCATAGTAAGTGCAATAAATTATGTTTAAAAATGGGATCTATCCAAAATTCACACTTTAAGTACATTTTTTCCACTCACTAGTATTTTGTGCATAAGCTGTAAAGTCAACAGATAATCCAACTCAAATGATAACTCAACAATGCTTCATAGAACAGAAGAGAAGACAGCCATCTTGATGCGTAACAGAGTGATGCAGCAACAGAGCCGTTGTTAGCCAGCTTCTAATCAGCAGTATAGCCGTCCTTTACAACCGCAAGAAGAAGACGCAGTGAGGCTCCACCAAGAACTGCAAAGCAAGCTGCAGAAAACAGTGGTCACAGTGGTCTAATGAATACTTTAAAGCTGTACATAACTAACCTAACATTAATTAGTTCTGTGTGTAAGGAAGGGCTGAACGATGTATATTAAAAAAAAAAAAAAAAAGATATTGCTATAGCGACATGAGGCATACTTTTAGCACATATTGTCATTTTTTTCTTATCTTTTCCACTGCGTGTACCAAACATTCCCTCACGTCTGGAGAATATTATTTGTCTCTGTAGCACAACAATGCTTTTCCCTAAAGTAGTATTTTCTTTCACATTTTAGGCCCTGTGATTTGGACGTCGCACTTGTTGTGATTCTGATAATATTTTGATGAAATGTTTTGCCCCGGTGAGAGGCGACAAAAGCTGCAACCCAAACTTTCTGCTCTGCTTTGTCTGACGGGAGGACAGAGCTCACTGTGCAGACGGTGCCAGTGTTGCCACTGGAAATGGGTCATCACATTTTCAGCTCTGCACTAGATTACACTGTAATTGTGGTCACAATAGTGGGACTCTTTCGTCAGATTAAATGAGATAGTGTCTTGTTTTGTTTCTCTATGTGTTTTTCTAAGGAAAACACTCTTTCCCCCCGTTGTGCGAGTATACAGGAAATATCACATAGAATCCAGCAGGAACTTGTCTTATTTAATCAGGAAGCATCTGTCTGCCAAGTTAAAGTTCAAGTATGTTTTATTCTTAAACCACAAGTTTCCCCTCAGTCATCATTTGTCAGTAAATGACCAGAAGTGGGCCAGTTAATATCCCAGTGAGACAGCTTCATCTCAGTTCTGCTTTGTGGATCGCAAGTTCTCATGATATTCAGGACTGTTTCACATGACATGTCGGTTACTAAAGGGCTGAGTCTGACTGGCCTCTGCAACTATTTGGCAACGTATTATGACTTAATTCGACACAGTAGTTATAATTACTTGACAACACACCCATATTAAGGTATTGTCCTTGAGCTGCATGCATTTTTTTTTTTTGCCTACTCCAGGTTTAGCAAGTGTAGTAATTTATATAATTACAGTATGATCAGAAATGATAAACCTGAGATGCTGAATGGGATTAGCCGACTCTTTGTCCTCACCGCAGGGCTGAGATTTATCTAGAGAATTTAGCTTCATGGCTCTGTAGAATTACAATTGCATTACTTTATAGCTGTTAAAAATTTCACAACATAATTCAGAGTTTGGAGACGCTAATAAAATAAGAGGTTAATATTGTAAAAGACTTGTTTTACATGTTTAGAAAACATCCAATTAGTGTAAGAAGCCTATCTTAGTCGCCAGACTCCTTTGTGTCTCAGCTAAGTTTGACAATGATTAATAATCAGAAGAATTTATGGCCCATAAATCTGATGCGTTTTTTAAAAAAGTGATGAAATGATATTAAGATAATATTTGTTGTCAGTTCACACGAATAGAGCAGGCTGGTATTTCCTGTGTGCAAAGCTGCTTGTCCCCGAGGAATGTGTGGAATGTATTCTTTTGTCCTCTGTAGATTTAGCAGCGTCTCATTTCTGTACTGCCTGCTAGAGAGCCCAGGGAAGAGATGGCAGACTGGAAATGAGTCTGAAAGCCTGTCAGTTACCCCCGTGGTGAGCTCCTCCTTCTCTTTGAATCAAAGTTGATGGATTCTATAAGTCGGGGGGGAGGACGGACGAACTTGTGGAAATGTCTACGTGTCATTACAAACATCCTCTCATTAGAAAGATGTTCTCCAGTGTTTGACTGAAGAGTTGTCAATCCACTACCCCCCTAACTTCCATGTTTATTTATAGCAAGAGGAACTTTCCACTGGATGTCTCCTTCATCCAAAGTCATGGCTGTGATCTTGGAGGGAGGAGGGAGGCTGTAATTGAGGCTTTCTGCCCCTTTTTATGGGGAGATGAAGCTACAACATTTTCTAAGTGACTTCTCTGTGGCCTCAAAGCCGGATGTTACTGAGGACAGAGCTGCCAGCACATCAAGAGACAGATTGTGATTGAGTAGCGATAAAATTAACTGCAAGACTGTATAAAGATTACAACATGTTTACTCTCTAACCGCCGGCAAATAAGCCTGAATACCATTGCCGTTAAGCAATATCCACGCTTCTTTGTCTGCATTTAATTCCTATATTGAAATATGTTCCACAGTTCTAATATTGCAGAGGATAAAACATTCATCCTCTAGAGAAGCTGTGCACATTTGACCAACTTTGCTCCTCTCTGAAGCTTCATGCAGTACCAGCTGCTTTGCCACATTATACCTGGCTCTCACAGTTGGCTTCATGCTGTTTAATGAGGCAGGATTCGCCGCCATGGCTAACTTTTCTCACACGCATTTTAGAGCAGCCTTGCTATGAAATATTCAGACTATGCTCATTTCAAAGCCCTGTATGTCTAAAATACACCATTTACATTGCAAAACCTTTGAACTTGCACAACTCTGAACTTTTTTTGTTTTATGCTCTCTGTGTTTTTTTTTTAAAACCCTCGTCTGCTCCAGTTGGAGATTCTGAAAAACTTTTCCAATCCTTTTGAAAAAGTGAAAGCGTAGATTTGTTGCACATTAACAGTTTTCCAGAGTGTTGCCCTTTTTAGAGTAATGTTTCAAAGTTTGAATGCAAGAATAGACTAAGTATATCTCAATATTTAATTACAACAAGGATCATAGTACTGTTTTACTGGCCTCATTCACACATTGAGAACAAAGGCTACAGTGATGTATCCTTTCTATGTTACTTGATCTAAATAAAGAAAGGGGGAAAAAGGGTTTTATTTAACTTCTCACATATGACAGACACATGCCTAAAGTTGTACATTTTGTGGTAAATTACTGAAACTAGTTCAGAGACAAGAGGCTGATTGTTGAAGGAGTCTTTTTTTTTTTATCGTCTTCTGCAAAAGACTGTTCATAATGAAGTGGCTGCAAGACTTTTTGGTTCAGGAATGTCTTTATGAAGGATTCTCCAAAAGATTCAAGAAAAATGACCAAGATCTCTAATCTGTGGTATTGCTGAGAGCAAATCTGCTGCTTCCCTAAAGTGCAGAATGCTCACTTCAGCTTTTACATCAACTGAACCTTAGTTAATTGTAGTGTTAACAGAAATGAACTTGTTTCAGGTTTACAAGGTCAGTGTCTCATTAATCTTTAATGGAGTACCTTAAGGAAATATGTTTTATTTATGTCCTTAAGAGCTCTTTTTTTTTTTTCTACCAACAGGATAAGCAGAGTTGTTCCTGCTTTCAAGTGAGAGCAGATCTGTTCAAGATTTCCTCTGAGATTTTATCTGTAATGAATGAGTCTCAAGATTTAACAGATTTTAGTTGTTGTCTAATTCTTCTCATGTGTTTCTCTTACAGAGGAGAAGGCCTCTGAATTGCCGGTCAGTTAATTCGACAAAGGAAAAACTGTTGTTTCGAACGAGTCAGCAGATCCCCTCAGCCATGTGTTCCACAAATCATTCGAACTGGGTCACATTTGAAGATGACAACACGCCGCTCTCATCACCTCAGAAGCCCCTGCAGTCACCCGGGCTTATCAAAGCATCAATACCACGTCCCAATGGTCTGAAATTAGTGCTGCCTCCAATCAGAGACACTTCCTGGAGCTTCAGTAGTTCCCTGGAATCCCCTCAAAGCCACTCAAGTCTTAGTGGAAGTTCCTGTGTACCATGTAACACACCCTTTTGCACTCCTGTGAGTGGGGTTCCTAGTAGCTCGTCCCCATTTCACTCTAACGCGAGGGAAAAGAACAACTTTTTCCGGAGTTTCTCCAGCACATCTACCGCCTCTGTTCCCTCTCCTGCACCAGAGGCTCTTAATCAAACCTCAGACGGACCAAGCCCTTTCCCCTCTTTCCAGGGGAACTCAGGACACTATAACCCCTTCTGGGATGGATCTAGACACAGTGAAGATGTGGGCAGCTCCTCCTCAGACTCAGAATCTGACAACAGCCTACCACGTTTCTTTATTCGGACCAAAGACGGCAGTGAGCCACCACGTGACCAACTCCAGAACTCTTTCTCCTACGTTTGCCACAAGCTAGAAGGCCTACAAGCAGAAACGGACCAAGAAACAGAAACAGAAAAGGATGGGGAGGGTCGGCTAAGTTGCAAGAATGAGGTGTTGAGTGAGGGTTCATCCCAGTTCGTTCCTCGGGGCCTGTTTCGTAGTCAGAAGAGAGATGGCTGGTCAGTCATGCTCAGGATTCCTGAAAAAAAGAACCGCATGTCCTCTCGACAGTGGGGGCCAATCTACCTCCGCTTGTTGCCAGGAGGTGTGCTGCAAATGTACTATGAGAAAGGCCTGGAGAAGCCATATAAGGAGTTCCAGCTTCTCCCTCAGTGCAGGCTCTCGGATCTTAAACTTGAAACCTATGGCGAGCCCCGCAAAGTCCTTACAGTCAAGGTGGAACATTTCTCTTATACAGAAAAGAAACGCTATCACCCAAAGTTGGAGGTTAGTCATGACGCAGAGGTGGAGCAGCTGCTCAAGTTTGGCTCCACAGTGCATGATGAGATGGAAGACCTGGTAGTCTCTATGGAAGAGGAGATCTTCAAGCTGTGTTTGCCCCACCAGCAGAGGCGCCACTACGAGGAGCAGGAATTGTCGTTGCAGATTACTGATCACATCTGGATACAGCTGGATAAGTTTGGGGGAGTCATCGAGCGGACGGCCTTCACCCAGATTCACTGCCTTGCTTTTCTGAACGGACTAGGGGACTGTTTTTTGGCCCTTAATGACCTTGGTTTGCTGCACTTTAACTCCAGCTATGGGTCAGAGGAGGGCAATGAACTCTGGATGGAGATTGCAGACTGTCATTTTCACAAATGTGTGAATGAGACGGAGTTTCAGAAGTCCCGGCTGATTAAATTCTCACCTCCTGACGCGTGCAGGGTGGAGCTGATGCGGTACAAAACGACAGTCTTGGGTTGCACAGAAATTCCTTTCTCCATCAAAGCTGTGGTCACAGTTCAAGGTGCCTATGTGGAGCTCCAGGCCTTTCTCAACATGTCTTCCACCTTCCTTTCCTCCATGAGGGTGTCTGACCCTCACTACCCACTGTGTGAGAATGTAGTGATCCGTGTGCCGGTGCCAGGCGACTGGGTCAAAGTGACACAGACGGTGGCCTTACTGCGACAAAGGTCACTGAAGGCACGAATGAACAGAAATGCCTGCTTGGGCGCCGTCAGCGCTGCAGATTCACAGCCTGTCATGCAGGTGTCAATCGGCACTGTCAAGTACGAGAATGTATATTCAGCCATCGTGTGGAAGATCGACAGACTGCCAGCAAAGAATACAGGTATGATACCTCTGACAGATTAACGTTTAGCCCCCCACAGCAGCCTCACACGTCTTTTCATCTTCTTAGCTTTGGCTTCATCTACACTTGCACAGTATGTTTGCCACACAGTGGTGTCACACTCTAACAACAATCGACCTTTGTTTTGTGCTGTGCAGCAGTGGATCATCCCCATTCATTTTCCTGCAAACTGGAGCTGGGATCCGATCAGGAGATCCCAAATGACTGGTACCCTTTTGTCACCATGGAATGTGAAATTATGGGCGCTGTTGTGTCACAGACCAGAGTTAAGTCCCTGGGCACTGTCAACGACATCCAGCCACAGAAACATGTGACCAGTTGGACACGCTATCATTGTCAGGTAAGATGCTTTGTCAGTGCTGTAACATGTTGCTCACTGCTCGTACAAACTTAAATGTCTATGTAATAAAGGCATGTTTTCATTGCAGCTAACTTAATTTTGTATTTTTTTTAGGTTGAAGTGGAGAAGAAATGGATTGAAACAGAGTCACAGAGGCAGTCTGGCTGTATGACACAGTGATGATTAAAGAAGCTTTGAAGAGGATGTTATCCCTTTGGTCCAGGAGATTTCAAAAACCTTCTTAAAGTTGAAAAGGGATAACAAAAAAAAAAAAAAAGCAAAAAAAGAACATAAACAAGGGTGATGAGGGACTTTCTGCTTATATCTGGTGTCAAATTCATCTAATTCCACATAGCCTGGTAGCATTTCTCATGGAGGTGAACTGATTTTTGTATCCTTTAACTGAGACTGAATTATTCTAGACCTTATAAACAATTTAACGCAGTCCTTTTGCCTAGCACTTTACATTTCATAGATTTATTAATTGTAATATTACAGTTTATACGAGTAATGTATATAAGCTTGCATTGTCTGCACTGTCTTCCAGAATGATCGGCAGCCTTAATAAATGCACGGCACATGGGCTGTAGAAGATAAACAACTTAAGTAATGATTTGTATTTATTCGGTTTGAGATAAGCTCATTATCAGCATTTCTTAATGACCGGGGCCTTCTTTGTTGCCCAGCAGTGTTTAAAGGTAACATACTTCCAAATGGCTTCATGTATGTGGGAATCCTTACGATTGTGCTCATTTCTATGTGCCAATGGTGTGATAGTTTTTTAATTATTGCATTCTTGGAATTATGATATATTAGAGCCCATATGCATTTAATTTCACTTATCAGTTACTATCAGTCAAATATTATTACACATTAATAACAGTGCATTTGCAAAGTAAAACAGCAATTTTAAAGGAACCCAGCAGGAATATGACTAACTGCAGCTTATTTTGACCTCCTTCTGTTCTTCATCAGTTATAGTCTTAAAGCAGCCTAACACAAATTCTGAAAGGTATGAAAAGTCTACTGTGCAGCATTGAGTGCTGATATTCTATAAAGTGAGATTTTATGATTTTTTTTTTTTTTTTTTACATGAAACATTACTTTTGCTGCTTATCTTTAAGTGACCTTTGACTTTATACCAAGGTTATATTTTGGAGGACTGTAATTTTATTTAAGCAAATCAAATCTTTATTATGTGATCTTTCTGCTTCTGGGTTATGAATAGGGTGGATTGGAAAAAAAAAAATAAAGCAATGGTGAAGGTTCATAATGAACAAGGTCTTCAATGACAGCTTGTATGTATGAGGTACCTGGCTTAAGCTGGATATGTGTACATCAAGAGTAAAAAAATTAAATTAAACCTGAATGTATTGTGGTTTTTCTCCAGAGGTGTTCGTAGAACTAGAATAAAGGATTAAGTTGTTTTTTTTTAAAATCACTTTTAATAAACACTTCAGTTAGAAAGAAAGCAAATACACACTTTATATTTATTATTCTGTGAATAAAGACAGAGCACAGTGGTTCTCCAAAACTAATTTATTTGATTATTTCTGCTTTTTCAAGAAACATCCAGTAGTGATACACTGCTGCTCAGTAAATTACATATGATTTGTAGGAAATGATTGTCCACAGTGCTGCGTGCTGTTTCATAAAGCTGAAGAGCACGCAGTTGCAAGGTGGGAAAACATTGTGGACAAGCACGGTTGACACATTAAAATCAGCACAGAACAGTTTGGCAAGAGTGCCGGTGTTTTATAATGCAATAGTCACACTGACCCATGTGGTGATGAGTCAGTCCCAGCTGAAACCTCAATCAGAGACCTGTCGAGATCTGGAAGGAGAAAAAATTCTGTGACGTAGCTTGTTTCCTTTTAACTGTTAGCTATTAAACTTTTTTTAGGATTTCTAGTATTAATGTTAAGACTTCTTGAAAGTTTTACTGGATGAATTGGAACTGATGGGTGGAAAAGAGTTGATTCAAAGCTTTAAACTGGGAAAACGGTTTAACAAATGTCAACAATAGTTGTGTCAACTTAGTAAATTGATCAAATCTGACAACTAACTAGAGTATTTTTTTGTTCTTTGTAACTTCTGGTTGATCATCATGGGTGTTTGTGAGTTTAAGCTGACTGCAGTTTCTAATGCATAAATTCAGTCAATATTCTCCAAGGTAAGTATGTGCTACTAGAATAGACACAGGATACAGTCGTCCTCAAATTTATTCATAACTCCCATTAAAGAAGGAAAAAAACAGGTGTCACTGAAATAAGTTGAAATTGACAAAAGTAATAATAAGCAAAAATTTAAAGAAAATCATGAAATTGCTTTTGAATTGTGGTTCAACAGAAATATTAAAACAAGCAAACAAGCTGATGGGACCTGTAAAGGAATATTTTGTTGAACAACGCTTTGAGGCATCACTGCAATCAAGACAGTTTTTTTTTTTTAATTATTCTTTTCAAACACAATTCAAAAGCAACGACTTATTTCACTAAATTATAATTTAGCAAATTTGATTTATTATTACTTTCTTCAGTTTCCAGTTATTTGAGTGACTATTGTGAATTTTGCCTTTTCTTTAATGGAAGGGTATGAATACATTAGAGGACTGTAGCTATTGTTCCATTGGTTATATGAGAACAAAGAGAGTCTTCCTCCTTTTAGAATTTGAGAAAAGTCTCTATCTGAGTCCGGGGTAGCTGTGAAGTGAGGTGACAGTTAAATGCCTTTTACTTTGAGCGAGTGCAGCGTCCACAGGGGCGTCTCATGTTTGCCGCTTTTCAGCTTGCAGGCCTCTCATCCTCATCAGAGGAGTCAACCCACAGTGTTGAAAGAGCGCCAGCATCGCCGAGCACACGCTTGGAGGAAGCAGGGGTCACGGCTCCTGCTGCTGCTGCTGCTACAAATCCATCGAACGCCAAGTTCAAAATGAAGTGTTTTGCGAAAGGTGAAATATTTTTAACTCCTGGCATTGTGCACTCGTGGGATCAGGAAAGTGCTACTGAGCTCCCTGCACCATACCAAATGTGCAACCAGAAAGTATCCAGAAAACTAGGAAAGGACAGTCCTGCTGGACAGGGATAGTAAACATTTAACACAGGAATTAGAAGATGCCATGATTGCTTTTGAGGCCTTGCAGTTACTGTCCCCCCACTTAAAACTGTGATTTGATTGTAAAATAAATGGTATGCAAAGATGAACCTATAACTTTTTATACTGTTTAAGCAAGAGATTAAAATTGCAATCAACTGTGTTCATTTCAAACACAAGGTTATTTTATGGAGGAAATGAACGTCAGGACATCCACATAACACTGAATGACTTCCTCCCTCTGCTCCAATCACATCTCCCCGTGGAGCCTGATAATGATCACTATCACCTGTGTGTGCTCTGTAGGCAAAAACAGTCTGACTTTTTCCACCATTATTATATGTATTATGTTTCCAAATCGATGGAAGCCCACTACAATCGGACAGCATCTATTTTTCCCCCTGAAACATGCTGACCAACACAGGCCCGGTGGTGAGCTAAGCTACTTTTTTTTAAGCTACTTTAGCTAATGCCTAATTAATAACAGAAGTGTCGGGCTTTAACGGCAAACCTTAGCATAATAAATGTGCTCCTGAAAACACCATTTCTACTCATTAAGAGGCTGTTTATTCTGAGTTTAAAGCCAGGCTATGTGTTTGTAATTTTGTCAGTTGTACTCACGTTGCAAGGCCAAACTCCGTTCAAAAAATGAGCAATTTTACAGTTATGCTAGCACTAGCAAGACAGCCACGGTTTTATCTCTTTAAAAAGTCGGTCCCAGAAATGTATTAATTAATTTACACGTATTTTGTTTTCCTTTTAAATTGACTGAACTTCACAGTGTGGAGTCTAACTTGAAATATATAATGAAAATATTAATTTAACTTTGAAGAATAGCCTACCCCTTTCTGGCAACTGACACACCACTGGAGGCTAATCTGGACAGAGGAATAACATTTATATGTTTAGTTACATGGAGACAGTCTGCAGTTCTCAGTAACATAGAAATGGCAGATTTTAATTGAATATGGACTTATATTTATATTAACATACACTATCTAGTTGTGGTGAGTCACTTTTTCCTCCCAAGCAGCTTCTGACTTGCAGTTTTTTTATTTATTTTTTGTAAACAACTGCAGGCCAAACTGTACTTGTCCATTATTGATGATGTGATTGATAGTATGAGGGAGCTCTTCCTGGACGAGGGCCTTGAAGACCGGGTCCTGGATGACTTGAGACATGTGAGTTGTATTTCACTTAAGCCTGCTGTCATTTAACAAAAAAAAAAGTTAACATCCCATACTTGAAGACGGAACAAAAATATATAAATGCAGCATGCAAGTTGTATTGTTTTGTCTTAGAGATAAGGTTAAGAAACTAATTTCTGTTGTTATTGTTGGAAAGGGTTACATTTAATCAAATAAATAGCTGTTGATCGGTGACAAAAGGTACATTTTGACTAAAGGTACACAGACACTCCTCTTATAATGCAGCTTTATTCAAATGACACGATGCCACAGATGACAACAGAAACACCAGCATGAGCTTTGGGTCTGCTGGATGCTGGCATGTCATTTGAAGTCGTAGCTAGACACTTGGATGTCCGCAATGCCGCTATTTGTCTTCTAAGATATTGTTTTACACAACATGCTACAACAGGCGATGCTCTGGATGGACTTCAAGACAACATGATCCTGTCCTCCAAAATGTTCGCCCTCTTCATTCAACCATTTACAAAGAATGGGACAACATTCCCCCAGCAGCTTCAATGACATAATTAACTCTGCTTCACATGTGTGTGACTTGTGACAGGCTTGGGATTTTTGATCTATGACCCTGTTTTCACATTATCATTTTCAGTACAGTGCACACTTGGTCGTTCCCTGACGCCCATTCTGTTGCAGAGATGCTGTGTGCTGGAACAGCAAACACTTATCCCCCCTGTGTTAAAACGAATGAATAGAATGTAATAAAATGCTGTTTTCATGCTTTTGTTCAGTGCATATGATGCACATCTTGGCTCAAGTTTATCAGTTACAGCAAAGTTAGATCATGTAGGGAGGAAGTATGCACTATACCAGGTAGACATACTGCTGTGTCTTCTGTTGTGCAGCTTTGGGAGTCAAAGATGATGCAGTCAAAAGCAATGGAAGACTTCAGGAAAAACAATATCAACTCATCCAACTTTGTGCTCCAGCTCCCTGCCAGCTACAATGAGAATGATCGGGAACTCACAGGTGACCCAATATTGCTAGAAACTTATCGGCTTACCAGCAAAATATCCTCAATCTTTGCTTTGTTAATGCAGCTAGTCGAACATACAATGTTTTTATAGCAGTTCTGTTCCTGTCAGTGGTTATGTTGAAAGGGGTAAGAAACAATTAGTGGGAAATTACCGCACATTACTTTTTAATTTAGATATTCCTGGTATGCGTATGGACATAAATGCTTCAAACATTTGACTCTGAAGTGATTCAGAGAGAAGGTATGACATGCTTTGCTCTGATTTCTGCTCTCAGCCTCAGTTGTCATTCCTGCCAGTCAGAATATCCACAGCTTCCCAGTCAAGGCAAGTGTCAGCAAGATTTACATCAGCTCACTGTCTTCATATGGCTCTTTATAAGAGGGGCAGACATTAAAGCAAATAAAAGCTGTAATTATTTCTACCTTAAGAGCAGCAGAATTTCTTATTGGGAAATTGTAGGTAATATGTTTTGGGTTTGGAAATTCACTGCTGCTTAATTTGAGTCTGTAAATTGCTTGATCGATTACGCTCAGGTTTGGTTTTTTCTCAGTAGCAGTTATACAAATTCTACCAACTTGATTTAATCTACTCGCTCAATTACATTTGAACAGTTTGAATGTAGTTTTTTTTTCTATTTGATGCTTAAACGATGTCAAAATTTGTCAACCCTAAAAAAAAAAATGTAGGTTTTGCAATTACAGCGCTCATCTGGAAAATCCCAACATTAATTAACTTTCAATAATAAATATTCACTAGTTGTTAGTCGCCAGTCAGGTGTGAAGTTTCTTGTAGGAGTGAAATTATTATGGCGATTATTTGCCCTTATAGTCACATTTCTTTCATTGTTTGATTACCAGACCAGAAGTGTTTAGTTGATAAGCTGACATTTTGTAAAAGATGACTGTCTATTCTTACCATTTGATGTACCTACTCATGTTTTTCTTTGCTCATAATATTTTATTGCAGAACAATTCAGAGACGCTTGCTACTTTTTCTCTGCCTGCTGCGTTGGCTTACCCCGTACAGATACCAGCAGGAGTCACTCTACAAACAGCCTCCGGTACGCATTGACTTAAACTCTTAACAGTGTTTTTATTTCTAGTGTGGACTAGCAGTAGAACTAACGTTTCACTCTTTTTTGTTTTGTCTCACTAAGGTCAACTTTACAAGGTCAATGTTCCTGTTGTGGTTACTCAGGCCCCGGCAAGTCAGCAGCCTGTATCGCACCTCGCACAGAAAGCCACTGAAAGGAGAGAAGCTCCTGCATCTCAGCCAGCTGCAGTCCAACCACATCCCATCCTTCCTCACGAAGCAGAGCCGTCCTCTGTTCCAGCCTCTTCTGTCACACAGCCAAAGACCAGTTTAGCCCCAAGTCAGGAGAGCTGCCTCCCCCAGCTCCCTCCAGAGCCCGAGGGCATGCTGGCAGAAACTGAGCCGAGTCCACAGCCTGAACCCGTGAACCTCAGTGTGACCGCCTCACCCTGCGCTCAGCTATCAGACTTTCACAACAGCGCAGAGGAGGCTTTGACACAGGCGGCACAGACCAGAGATGTCGATGACATCCTGAAAGAGGCCATCGAGGAGGAGAGAGAGAAAGCAGAGCGGGTGAGGAATCAAGCACCTATGAAGACTGACAACCAGTCTGAAGCTGTTCCTGGGAGAATTTGAGAAGAATTTTTCCCACTTTAGGGAAATACCAGTACAAGACATAGAAAAAGTTGAGATGGCGATGCGCATTATTCAATGAGTGGTTCCACATTTTGACAAAATACGCTCCTCAATCTGTATGCCGGAGCAGGCAGCCGGTTTGAGAAACTTATAAAAACTTGAGGCAGGGAAGCTCGGCTCTCAGTACTTGTACTGCGTGCATCGGCTGTAAAGTTAAATCTAATCCGTACAGAAGTAACTAAACCTGCCTTCCAGGACATCCAAAGCTTATTAATTAACATGTATTGTCTTGGTAGATCTTTTCAAAATCTATTTAAAAATTAATGAGTAAAAACAAATGTCTTAGTTTAAATAGACTGTCATATGTCTGGCTATTGTTTTTTTTTTACGTTTCCAGGTGATTTTTCTTTTTCTTAAGCCAACCAGCTGCTGGCTGTAGCTTTGTATTTACTGGATTAACATAAAATAATATGAAGGACATTAAGTGAATTCTTTACAGGGGGACCCAGTGAGTGTTAACATGATGAGGAGTTTACATTAAATCTCTTTATTTAAATCGGGGTAGTTATCAGCTAGTAAGAGTCTAATGAAAGACATTGAGTTATGTTGTATTAAGTGTAGGATCGAGCATTTTTTTTTTTTTGCCTGACCAATTCTAAACCAAGAAATCTGTCTCTGGTGCATCAGAATTGACCACATTGTTTTATTGGCATGAGCCTCCCAACTTTTTATAACTTCAATACCAAGATGTTAGAATGCCAGTTTACGTAATATGAAATAGTTTCAATTTATTGTGACATCAGGTTGTGTTATGCAACATCATGCTCATCACAGTTTCTCTAAAGCCTCAACATGAATTTGAATCAAGTCCTGACTACCTGAATGCAGTAAAACAAATCATGTTTAGCCAATTCAGGTATTCACTATTGAAATATGGAATAAATAGTAATTTAACAATAGCTGTTAGTCTCACTACCAGCTTCTCATCTCTGAACTTCATCTACTTGTGAATGTTCTTCTTGCAATTCCTGCTAAGCTGGACCTGGACTACAACTACAGCGACCTGTCAGACATCGTTCAGCTGGACGGCCCTGCGGACAACTCGGACCTCGAGGAGGGAGACGAGGTTCCCCTGGAAGAGAATGACTTTCTGGGTATAATCAACGCAGAGGCCATCAAGGCCCTGCAGGAAGGAAATGGAAGCAGTGACGGCAACAGCATCTCCTCCAGCAGCGACAGCGAGGGAGCAGATGAACTCGCTGATGTGGAGGAGGAAGTAGGAGAGAATGACTTTGATATTCATGAGTCGTGGTTTTTGTCTTGCAACCAAATGAAATAAACACCGTCTTTGATTGCATGTTTGAACAATTTCCCACAATGTACCTTCTGCTGATTAGGACCCCCTGAATTCAGGAGATGACGTGATTGAGCAAGACATCCCGGATCTCTTCGACACTGACAACGTAATTGTTTGCCAGTATGACAAAGTAAGAAAAATTCATCTCTCTACTGGCCAATATTTTCCTCTCAACAGATCCTGAATATTAACTGCTGCTATTGTGAACGTTTCCTCGTCTCGCAGATTCACCGCAGTAAGAACCGCTGGAAGTTTCACCTGAAAGACGGAGTGATGTGTTACGGAGGCAGGGACTATGTGTTCTCCAAAGCTGTTGGGGAAGCAGAGTGGTAAAGAGCTTCGGCCCTTCTAACAGATCAGATAATCACGCTGGAAAAGGAAACAACGATTTAAAAGGGAAAGACAATCAGTGAATTTAGACCTCTTGGTGGTGCTTTAATTTGGCTCACAGAGCAGGCAGTTAAGACACCACTGTGCAAAATTACTGATACTCGTTTTGTTTTTTTTTGTTCTGTAATTATCTCAGCAATACCGCAAGTCATTTATGATGTTACAGCCAATTGCTTACAGTATTGCTTGTGAATCCAATTTACTAAGACAAACAGCATGAATTTGTGTTCTATTATATTTTGATGAAAACAGTTTTCTTTATTAGTGGAGCAAAACATTGTTTGACCTCAAATATGTTAGCTTGTGTTGTGAACATGATTCTTTGAAGATGACTAACATGCTGTTTGATTTTCAAACGTTCTCATGTCTTATGCTAATTCTGCTTCAAATACACTGAGCTGCACTGCTGCGCTTCATTCGATGAATCCTTTTGTTCTCTTCGCAAACCTGCACAACGCTTGTGATACCTTCTTGTCATTATCAGTTTTTATAATTAATCAAGAGGTTTTTTTCATGTCACTATTCCCACTAGCCTGCGATATAAAAAAAAAAGTATAATGCTAAAATTAAATGCTAAATGCCAGCATGCAGACTAATACGGATTCATGTTTTGACTGTGGTTTGGATAGGCGCTAAATTAGCTTGTCACATCTCAGAAAAAGAAAATGATAGACAGTGGTGGGACATCTCCTGAAACAACTCAGAACAGAAACTCACAGTTTACAGTGTAATTTTGTTGAATGGATCGAGTACAAATCTAAGTCTTCCTGGCTCACACTGATATATCAGCGTCGGTACAAGAAGGAAAAGGAAGAAAATATGACTATGATGAACAAGGGAGAAATGATTTTCTTTTTTCGAGGACAGGAGAAATAAATTCTACTTGTATGTTATATTGAGTACGTACAGGCACAAAACTAGGAAACTGAAGTTAGGAGAAATAGAATAATGTCATTATAAATATTATATTACAGCCCACATTCCTCATTCTTATGATGTAATGTTTGCCTTTGGTAGACAGCCACCCCTCACTAGGGATTTGTTTTTTGTCCTATTTTATACGTAAATCTGCCTCCCACTAAGAGACTAACAAAATTAAGCAATGGGTCTTTTGTAGCAGGCTGCCAGCATGTATGTTGATGAGACGCTGCAGCAGCTCACTACAGGTGTGCTGGAGTAGGAAGTCTTCTGTTGTCATCTGAGGTCGAAAAACTGACACATTAAAGAAAGTTAGTAGAACAAATAGGTTGATCAAACGCTGCTCATCTTTAATATTTAATAGAGAACCTGGTGATTATTGAATTCTACATATATGGGCTGTAGTTGCAAGTGTGAACCGCCTTCCTTCACTTCTTTACTACACAGTAAGAGGAAAAAAAAACGTCCACATTTTTGTTTTATTTTATTTTATTTTACAAACTTTTGCTTACAAATTCTGCACCTAGTATTTACAAAAAGTAGTTCATTCCTTCTCTCTGTGAAATTACCAGTAGGTGCTTTTTGGTTTCCCATAATTCTTCTATTATATTAACTTTTAAGCAATAAGAGGAGTCAAGTATTTAATTAGGACTTGATTTATACAGCAAAATTACACTGTGAACTGCAGGCCGTACAATAAACTTTCCTTGGTTTTATGTCATATTGATAGTATGAAATTTTCAAGGCAATTATTTCATGTATGCCAGCTTCAAATGTTGCTTTCAAATTACCGTACAATAGCACTAAATCTGTGTATTTTCTTCAGATTACTGTATAATGTAAAAAGGGTTCAGATGAAAGCATGCAAAAAAAAAGTCATTACAACTGTTACAACAGCAAAAAACAATTTATGCAGGGGTCACAAGTTTGTTTTGCAGTAAGAAACCATAGTTTTATAGGATTAATGAACAGTATGCACTGAAATGCGACCTCTTACTGCTCGAGCTATGTAAATCAGATGAAATTTTCAGCAGGTCTGTGGTGAAGGCCGCTCTGATCCTGGATTATCCTGAAATGATGCACTCTGTTTCTGTCCAGCTTATGTATGCAAGTTTGTTTCAATAGCTGTTAGGAAATATCAAGATGAGTAGCAAATAACCACACTTTAATTAAAAAAAATCTAATGTCTTATTGTAAAAATACAGGACATTTGGAACAACTGTAAACATTTCCTCAAACTTGTCTCCAGGTTTAACTGAGTCGTCGTGGCTGCTCTGGCATGTCTGCACTCCAAACCTCTCAGTCCAAACGTCTCCACAGTACAAAAAACCAGAAGGTGGCACTAAAACTCATCTCTGATGAGCTAAAACAAAGGCTTTCATTTAATCACATGTACTTTATTGTATTAAAAAAATACAAACATTGTTCTTATTAGGGGGAAATAAATAAATTCTACTCATTTTTAATAATAACATTATTTTGTAACATCTTGCCAAAGTGCTGCTTTATATAATTTGTTCTTGATCATTACTGATTTGCTTTCAGCTTTGCAAAAAACTGGCCGGTTCTATTTTTTTCCTCCATCCCTGCTCCATCCAGCTGCTTCCTCGTCCACAGTGCCCGTGCAGAAATGGAGCCTGCGGCACACGTTGTCTTCAATTTGAGGTCTCTTGGTTTTGACTGGTGAAATTCTCAGTTTGCAAACTAACCAAGATCAAATCTGATCAGATGTCTGCCGTGCACAAGACCGACGATCTCTTCACCCTGACCTACATTTTGAAGAAATGCTACATTTTTAGCTGGACAGCAAGTGCTGCTTTCAAGCTCAGAGTAAAATTTGGTGTGCTGATGGTCATGTGGTTCCCTTATTTAGAAAGCAACCCTTCATCTTAATGTGATAGGCGTAAAAGCTGAGTGAGTGATGTTTTCTGTTGGGCATTTTTTGTGTACCGGTCAGGTGTGACGCCAGAGTCTGTGATCTATAGTAGTCGGCGTGAGCGTGGCAGCAGCCGCAGCGACTGAGCATCAGGCACACATCCTTCCTGAAAGCCCGCGTGAAGATGGTGTACAAGAAAGGGTTGCAGAGGGAGTTGATGGGATAGAAAAGGATGAGCAGGATCTTGGAGTGAGACACGGTAATGAGGGGCATGCGCAGGGCCGCAGAAATGGCGAAGAAGGAGATTGGCGCCATGCACACAAAGTCTGTAAAAATGAGCACAGCCATTCGTTTGGCGATCTTGGCGTCTCCGTGACGGGTGGAGTGCTCCGGGTTGTGGATGCTGAGATATATGCATATGTAACAGTAACAGACAACCAGGAAAGCAACAACGTTGACAATGAGCACAGCCACCACGTAAATCTGAGACCCCAGTGTGTCGATGTCCATGGGCAGACAGATGCTCACTTTGCTGTAGCTGCTGACCCCCACAAGAGGGAGCAGGGAAACCAGCAGAGAGAAGCCCCAGCCTGCCCCCATCATGGCCGTCACATGGTGCATCCGCAGCCTCTTGTTGACATGCATGGCATTGGTGATGGTGTGCCAGCGTTCAAGGCTGATCACAGTCAGCGTGTAAACTGATAGCTCGCTGGCAAACACCGTCAGAAACCCTGCAATGCCACATCCAGGCCCAGTCTGCCAGTCTGTGGCGTGGTTGTAATATTCTTGTCTGGAGTGGAAATCCATAAAGGCAATTAGCATCAGATAGAGCCCCATGCACAGATCAGCAAAGGCCAGGTTACATATGAGAAATCTGGAGATGGTTAGCTTGTGGTGGCTAATCAGCAGGATGCCCAGAACAGCCAGGTTACCGGCCACAGCGAAGACGGTTATCATCCAGGTGAGACAGCGCAGGAACGGGAAGCCAAGCAGGTCCTCGCAGGGGTTAAAAGCATCTGGCGTCGGTGTGCACTTGACAAAGGGGTTGTTAAGACAATCAAATTCCAGGTCTGGATACTGAAAGTTGATGTCGTTAATGAGGTTTGTGCCATCTGCAGTGGGCTCTCTGAAGAATACACAGATGTTAGGATTATCACATAAAACTGCCAGAAAAATAGATCACAGAAAACTACCTGCGGTAAGGGATAGTGTGAAAATTAAAGGGGTGGATGGATGATATTTTTAGGAGAGCAGCAGAAGGTTATTCAAGTTGAACTGTTTTGGGGTTTTTTGTACATGCCACAGGTTATATGAGGTCAACCAGCATGGTTTATTATTCCCAATAAAATGATCTAGAAACTACTAGGATCAAGTTCTAAGAATCAAAATAGTGCTGTATGTTATTAACAGTTGAGTAATCTGACTGCAGATCATAAAACTAAACTTAAATCCATTATGCAAAATGACAGGACTTAGCTCAAAAGTGAAGAATGGTTGTTATATTTTGTAAACTAATTGCTAATTCGGTTAGTATTTATGCTCTGTGAACATTATTATGCCAACAAGAGTACATTAAAGCACAATATTTTAATTTCTTTTTACAAATGAGTTGCAACTGCTCAGTCATTTTGACATATTTGGGCAGGTGGTTGCACTCCCCCTTCCACACACACAATAGTTTTTGTACACACCCTGTATATGAAAAGGAGGAACTTACATCTCTGTTTCCTTGAGATCACAAAACTTTGTGAAGTTCTTTAAGGCACTTTCCCTTTAAACAAAAGAAAAAAAACAAAGAAAGGAAAAGGTTAGACCACACGAAATGTCAATAAACTCAGCTGTTAATTACCATCCCACTCATGATCTGCATTCATCGGATAGAGCTGTGCTTGTTTATGCAGATGCGAATGGATTTGTTACATCTCTGGGAGTGGCTGTTGGTTACCTTTGTATCCGGCGCCATGTGTGGAAGGCGCAGCAGTGGCTGGGGTACGTGAGCTCAGCCTCCAGCAGTTCAGCGAGGCTTTCCAGCGGAGGGAGGCTTTTCAGAGCGAAGGCAGAGCTGGCTTTCAGAAACCTCACCTGCCGCAAGCCTTTAGGGGGGAGGGAGCTTAGAGCTGTGGAGGAAACATCCCTGAATCACACACGCACAGAACGTAGACATACATCAACAGTGAAGAGAGGTGAAACAACTGCAGGTAAAACATTGTTTTAATAAGGCACTGGACTACCACTTAAAAGAGCCTTTGGTCTGTCTTGAATTAAATTTCATGTGTCATTTAAACCCTGCTGGAGGGTTACAAAGCCAGTCTATCCAGTAAGCCGTTTGGTGTCTTGTTGATGGTGATAAGAAATGCTGTTTCTGGCAAATTTTATAAATCTCCCACAGGTGTTCATTGAGCTCTAGTATCTGTGACAGCAAAGCTCCTAATTTACATTGTTTTCATATTCATCAAACCAATGAGCAAATTATGCTGTCTCTCTAAAGAGTTGCTCGTTCATAACAAAACTGCTTTGTGTTAGAACAGAGGTTGTAATTACTGACTGAATACATTCTTATCCGCCGCAAAACAACATCCAGAATTCACTTTGCTCTCCTTCGTTTGACTGGATTACTTCTAACCTGACATTTATCACATCTAAAAACACCCAGATGTGCTGCACTGGACTCCAAGAAAGATCCTTAGCATTTCCTGTGTGCCAGCGAATACGACAAACACTAATTCACAAGCAAGATAAGAAGACGTAACCACACAGAGTTGCTTGCAATCAGAGACCTTGTGAGCTGTGTGTGCAGCAGACTTAGCTATTTGCTCACTAATCAGTATTCTGCAGTCCTGCCTGCCTTGTTGGTTGTTTACACAGACGGGCTGTCACCACCCTAATGTTTACACAATGAAATAATAAACATTGTTATGAATATTAATCTTACTTCATGACCCAGTTCAAATATAATCACCTTAATGCTGTTGATTGAACAGATTAATTTTTTTTACCAGTGTTGGAAAGAGTAAGTGCATTTAATCATTTTACATTTTTATGCTGCTTTATGCTTAACTACATTCCACAGGGAAATTGTGCTTTTTTTTTATTCTGTTACATTTACTTGAAGGATAGAAAACAAATTATAAAAGGTGAATAAATGAGTAGAGAAACACATTAACTGCAGATGCTTCCATGCAGGTAAGGCTGCACAGTGCTGTTAAGTGATTGACATCCAATCGTGCCCTCTAGCAGGTGCAAAAAAAATTGCAGCAGATGTTGATTGTGGATCCAGATAAGTGAAATTAAAGAGGGTTCATTGTTGGGGCACAGACAGAAGGAGCTTCAGTCACAAAGACGGTTTGGCTGGTTTGTTTTTTATTAGGAGCAGTGACTTAACTGCATTTAAATCTATTGTAAAGACGTCAGTAAATGGGGTCGGACGCTGTAGTCAGCCGCACGTGTGATCAGGGTTGCAGTGCATAAACTCCTCATTTCACAGATGAATGCTTACTTTTGGATTCAGTGGTGCAAAAACCCTAGACAGCTGTCTAGAGCGATGTGGAAAACAGTGATACAGTCAGATGAGTAATCCTCCACCATATTCTCAACAAGTAAGGGAGCGTATTGTATGCCAACACAACCGTATGGGATGACAATGTCCACATCCATAGGGCATGAGGGGGTCACTGAATGGTTTGATGAGTATTAGAATGACGTGAATCAATGCTATGACCTTCACAGTCATCAGATATCGATGCAATTGAACTCATATGGGCGATCTGGGCGTGAGGCGTTATTATCACAACACCAACTGAATGAATATCTTTTGGAAGAATGGTGCTTTTCGCTCCAGTAGAGTTCAAAAACAAAAACAAAAGAGGATTTTTAAGTGCTGCAAGGTGGCGCAGTTGGTAGCACTGTTGCCTCGCAGCAAGAATGTCACCGGTTTGTGTCCCAGTGGGGGCACCAGGATCTTTCTGCGTGGAGTTTGCATGTTCTCCCCGTGCAGCGTGGGTTCTCTCTGGGTTCTCCGGCTTCCTCCCACAAGGTCCAAAACATGTTGAGGTTAATTGGTGATTCTAAATTGTCCGTAAGTGTGAATGTGAGTGTGCTTGGTTGTCTGTCTCTAAGTGTAGCCCTGTGATAGACTGGTGACCTGTCCAGGGTGTCCCCTGCCTTCAGCCTAAGTCAGCTGGGATAGACTCCAGCCCCCCCGCGACCCTAATGAGGATTAAGCGGTGTGTAGATAATGGATGGATGGATTTTTAAGTAAAAAATAACAGTAAAATTCAGAAAAGGGCGATCCACCTTTTCTACATAATGAATACTATGCATACGTCAAAGCTGTCTGATAGGGCTGATACTGTTTAAAAAGATGGGATTGAGCCAAAACATTTAAGTTTTGGAGTGTAAATCCAAAACAATGAGCTGAAAGATGCTGTGCAGAACTGAGATGAACTGCAGATTAATTATCTAAAAGTCCCTTTTAAATACAAGTCATCATGTGATCCGTTGTCAATATGAACACATTGATTATCTGAACACTTCCACCTCTGATTAGTCATGACATTTTGCATGGTATTTGTGATTTTATTAACGTTAACTACTCACAGAGAACTCGGACCTGTGGCTCCTTCAAAAGCATCTTCTTGAATGTGACTGAGATACCTGTTGTCGCTCAAATTTCTACAAAAGACACAAAAAACAGTCAGCTACAACACATGTGACGTCAAAGCCCAAACTGCAGTTTTGCACTCAACATGCAATAAAGAAAATCGAAGATGACACATTAATGGGCAACAACGCCCCAAACCATTTTCATCTACTTTTTGTTTTCTCAACTTGACACTGAGGAAGATAAGCATTATTTTTAGACTTCAGGGTGTCTGTACGTATCTCGTCCCCATCGACATTCGGCATTACGGGGCAAACCGAGAAAACAACAGGGCATCCAATCTTTGTTTAGTCTTACATAACGTTTGTTTACTGGTACACTCAGTTTTTTTTTTATGATTAGGAAAAGAAAATACTCTAACCGGAACAATATTGTTCAAAGCAACATACTGTAATGCTGTGCTGTTGTTGAAAAAAATCTTGATTGTGAGAACGCTTACAGTGTGTTGAGCTTGGTCCCGTTGAACGCATGACACTTAATTTCCTTGAAGCCGTTTCTAACCAGTATCCTGTCAAGGACACAGTGTTGTAAATTTCAGTTTGCTGTCAAAAGCACCTATCAACAAGGTCAGAGAAGTGAACATTCAATTACATAAGCATATTAAGCCGCATCAAGAAACATTCCTGACAAATGGTGACAAATTGTTGCTCTTAGCTCCGATAACGTGGTAACAAAGAGAATTTGGTTTCCCGCACTCACATGTCGACGTACTCCTCTGTGATACCCCGGAAGGAATTGGCAGGGATGATGTCGATCCTCATGTTGTCTACCATTTCTCTGGGGGAGAAAACATAATAATAACTGTTTGGCTAAATTATCAGTTAGACAAAATTATGTATACTCATTTTTTTATTATTTTTTTAAATAAGTGGTTTGATGAACTGTGACACAGAGATGTTGACATTGTGACACCGATAGAACAAAACCAAATCTGGGCTCAGAATAAACAACTTGGGTCTCCACTCGTGGCGAGAACATCCAGTTTCGCAACAAACAGAGACACTAATCCAGTTTAGAAGCGCACTATATTTTAATAGGATTACTTACAGGATAATAGTTGGTGCCATGGAGGAGATAGTTGTGAAGTCTGGAAAGTGTACCATGCCCGTGTTAGAGATGCTTCTGTGAAGACAGGTGGCAGAGACCCACGATAAAGAGCAGATAAGAACAAATTCTCAAAGTACCCAGAAAATGTCACAGAGTTTTAGATGGCGGAGACATTTCAGGAGCCGGTTCTATAAAACATCACATCACTCTCTGCTCGTGACCTTTGACATGTTTCTTCACATTTAACGTGGAGCAGCGAAAAACATAAAGACTGACTTTTTTTCCCCCATTGCGTAGAACATAAAGGTCGTACGATAAGAAGTACAGCACCAAGACTGAGTTTGTAGTTGACAGCACAAAAAAAACCCCAAACTGCCACCATAAAATTGCTGCAAAGTAAGGAGGCACTAATAATAACCCATACCCAGCCAAATGTGTTTTTCAATTCAGTAACACTGTGCAGAAAATTACACAGAAATAACTGCATTTAAATGAAATCCGCTGAAAAAAAAACCGCACAAAAACACTATCAAGATTTATTCAATCTTGACTTTTGATGCCTAATATGAGTTGAAATTCAAAATGCTGGAAGCTGCAATTCCCATAATCATTCACAAAGCCACAGGTGGGCTTAGGGGTGCCTTATTAACTATCAACGAACAACGATTTTGCTTCCTAGATTGTGTGACACCTGAAAATGTTTGGGTCTTGTTCACTTAATAATAATAATTCTGTTTCTGAACGGCACAGAAATCATTTTGTAAAACTGTCATATGTCCATCCTTCTCCTCTGACCTATAAACTCAATACATTTACAAAAAAAAGCACATTGTTTTAATTTCATTACAGTACTGTTCATTTTCAGTACCTTCAAAGCTGCGCTGTGACCAATACTGTTTTCTCTGTAAGTAGCCAGATATGGATCAACCTAAATCAACCTGCCAGCAGTCACTTTGGTCCACTGGTGGACTTGCAGCTTCCTTCTAGACTTAACGTTACAGTATATTTTCCAAGATAAATGATGCCCTACAAGCCTGATCCCCTGCTATCAGTGTGTTGGATAAAAAGCTGAGAAATGATCACATTTGAAGACATATTGAGCTTTCTTCCTTCAAAGAAAACTGATTAAAATGGATCATAGTGAAATCAGTGATCACAAGATGTTTGTTGTGCACACAGGTGCAAATTTGCTGTTTTTGTGACCCAGTAGGAGTAAATGTGATTCTGCAGGTGTGTCAAGCAGGACTGTTGGGTTTTTTTTTTAATGTGCTTTGCTGTGTGACTAAATTCGACTCCGGCATGGTTGTGTCTGCCACCTGTGTCTAGTTGTGCACCTGTGCGAGGTTAGACAGAGGCACAGCGGTGCTTTAATCAGCAGGCTATCAACATGTTTACACTGACGACGCTGATATGCTCAAGTTAAGCAAGTATCCTTCTTGACTGTTTTCACCGTCTTCGAGTAGTTTAGCTCGTTAGCATTTGCACATTTGCTAATTAGGATCCAACAAAAGGGGAAGTTGAGGCCAACAGGAATGTTGGGAGGTGTTTTCTCATGAACAAACAGACACTATGAAATTTAGAAATGATGATGGTACACGATGAAACAAAATCAACCAAGTTATTACATTTAATCCTGAGAGGAACATGACACAAATTTAAAGCCTCTTTTCCGTCATTGATTCAACCCCTAAAAACTTCTCTGTTTGTGTCAGACTTACATATTTGCGTTAAATAAAGCCTTCTTGGCTTTAAATGGTTTGGAAGCGTAACTCTAGACCTTCTAGAAAAGGGGTGTCAATCTCAAAAACACAGTGGGCCAAAATTTAAAACCTGAAAAACGTCGCGGGCCATCATTGAACAAATGAACCTTTTAATAAGGACCGAAACAAATTTTGCTTTAACATTGAATATGGAACAAGCAACGCTTATTACCATACATTATGTATAACTTAATAGTGGAGACATGCAAAATCAAATTCTAAATAAAAAAACACATCAATGGCACAGTGACAGTTGTAGTGTGAAGTCGCTATGCCTACTGTCACAGAGGAGAGGGAGTTTCTGGGTCCTGTCCTGATTGTCGTGCCAAAACAACAACAGGGCATTATGGGATTTGTAGTATAGCGGTGAGTGCACTGTACAGCATAATACCTCGGGCAGCTCTAGTAGTCATTTGGTATTGTCTCGCGGGCCAAATATAATTACAAAGCGGGCCAAATTTGGCCCGCGGGCCAGAGTTTGACACCCCTGTTCTAGAACATGCAGATCTGTGAGGACATCCACAGTAGTACTGGCAAGATGAGAGAGCGTTTCTTCAGGATCATTTAATAAGTAAGTTTTGTTGAATGCACATCTGGGATCATCAAGACATGAAGTGTTCACTCTCGCTGTCTCCTGAAGGGGCCGCTGTGTCTATGTGTGCCACCATCACATTGAACATGGCGAACCTCTCCAGGTCCTGGTAGGTCTTCAGGGACACAAAAAAAGACACGCGATGGTGTGATGATGGTGAAGCCGTAGATGCTGCCCAGAGCGAGCTGTCTGTCTGTCCACCTGGAATAATGTCATCTCCTCCAGCTTTATGTCCGTCTGGGATGTTGTCATGGAGCCATGTTTCTTTAAAGCAAACTCATGGCAGTCTTTCCACTCTCTGCGGGTTTCTTCCAGCAAACGTAGCTCATCCAGCTTGTTGTTGAGGGAGCGGACATTGGAGAGTAGGAGCCACGGTCGTGCTGGTCTGGAGGGGTTAGCCTAGCATGGATCCCGACTCTCTTCCTTCTTTTTTATGTTGGCACCGTTTGTGCTTCCTTCTGTCTTGGGGAACTGGCGGCGTAGTCTCCGATCGGACTCCGCGTTGGCGCAGCATGTCGAAATCACAACCAGTCACCTCATTTCCAGCACCGTTCACTGTTCTGATGCTAAGCAAGTCTCCCGGCCGCAAGTTTTGCAGAATGAACGTCTTGGATAAGCAAGACACTCAAAATGTTCCCTTTCGTTGTCTCTTGAAGGGGCCGCTGTGTCTATGCGCATCAGCAGCTCATGTAATCAGAGTACTGTTTTCCCTTTTTCTGTTAAATGCCAGGAGATTGGAGTCATTAGGATTCATCCTCTGGAGACCAAAAACATTCACCAAATTTGGAATAATACCTATAATTTGGCTTTTTTTTTGGGTTTCAACAAAGCTTTACTGTAAAGGTTAGTGGGGTTTAAATCGATAAAAACAGGTGGACTTACAAATGTTTCAGCTTGGGCAGATCAGTGAAGGCACCTTTTTCAATAACCCTCAGACTGTTGATGCTCTGCACCGAACTACAGGAATAAAAAATGAGGAAACATATCAGTAATTACAATATTGTTGTCAGAGGGTGTCAACAAACAAACAGAGAAAAACCCCATTCATACATCAGCCGCTCTGAAAGTCAAGGATTAAACACGCTGCTTTGTAATAGACGGACTAATCCTGTGGGGCTTAAACGGAATGCAAAACACACACCAAAAGAATAATTGCTTTCATCACGTTTAAAAAAAGTGACATGCAATGGCAGGTGAAGTGTCACTTACATTTCCGCCAGGCTGTGGAGGGAGAGGAAAGCGTGTCTCTGTATACGTGTGATGTGCTCGCTCTGGGAGATCTCACTGTGGCACAAAGAAACGGCTCCACATCAGTCAACAGATTAACAAAAGATTGTAAGCCCCCTTGAAATGTTGCGGATGGAGCCAGTAAATATAGAGTTTTTAGCAAAGCTGATATCAAGAGCCACGCGAGTGCTTGTTACGGATTTCTGTCCTGGCTTATTTTTCAAAATGCACTGCTTTTAGAAATAGGACAGAGTTGATTGATAGAGGGACGCAAACCTGGAGGGGAATATTAAAACACCATCACCAGCGATTCATACTTCTAGGGCACCGCATACACATGCTGGACCTCACGTTTGGAAGAGCTCCAAACATACATCACGGATGCATCTAGGCCAAGAAGTGAAGATGTTTATAAAGGAGGACTAAAACAAAGACGCCGGGAGACAAACAAAGTCAACAAGACTTCTTGATTCGTCCTTGGGCACTTTGTTTTCTGATGGCTGACTTCTTTCAGGAGACGCTCTCCATTTTCCTTTTTTTTTTTTTTTCTTGCAATCATCATTTCAGACTCCCACTCTACTGTAATCAGTTTTTCTAAATATAACGTCACCGTGCTTCCATTTCAAACCAAGAAACAATTAAAGGACTCCATCTGTGCTGCATATCCTCCTTTTTTTTTCTTCATCTTCTTCTTTTAGCCCCTCCTGATTGCACCATGTAGTGTTATAATTACAGCTCATAAAAAGCTTTTCTCACATGATCATCTAAGTGAAGCTGCTCATCATCGATGACAGACCACACATGTCACTCTGCCTTGACACAGGTGTCGTGGGATTTTTTTTCTTTTTATTATTTCATCTTCTATCACCTGAAACTCCAGAATTTTGTGACAGAGACTAAATTTGAACATGATGAACCTATCACATGCATGTGGTGAGCCTGATAAGGCTTGTCCCTGAGGAGAATCAACACAAACTGGTTGAAAATGTTAAATACCCATTCATTTTCTTACAGATTTTAAAGCATGGAGACTGCATATAATAAAGCAGAACATAACTTACATTCTTGTAACGTTGATCAGCTCCTTGAAGGCATGAGTGGGAACCACTTTCAAGGGCAGATGAGTGAGCCTTCTGCAAGATTCATAAGCACAGCAAGTTCAAATCACATTTATGCTGCAACATGTAAAAGAAAATGAAAACAAAATGTCTTTAGGTTATCCTTTAAAATGACATTTACCATAACACACACACACACACACCAGGAGTCCTTGGAGAATTATTAAAGTGGCAGAAAGAGAATTAAAAAGTCAGTGTGAGGTCAGAAGACACTGTGAGCCTATGGAGAGAAAATAATAATAATAATAATAATAATAATAATAATAATAATAATAATAATAATAATAATAATAGAAAAGTTCATGAAGTACCACAAAGGCACTGATTTGTTCAGTGTAAAGCACCAGAGACACTCAATAGGAGGATTTTAAGAGTGAAAAGCTGAAAGAAGTTGGGTTACTTACAGTCGAAGCACGGCTGCTTGTGGCGTCCGGGAGGCCAGCTGAGTGTCTCTGCTGCACCGGAACGTGTCGGCGGAGCAGCGGCAGATGGTCGGACAGCTAGAAGCCCAGCAGGGGCGCACATCCAGGACACCGGACAGCGCGACCAGGAGCCAGACCGCCCGGGGAGCCATGCGTGACACCGGGCCACTCATTCAAACAATAATACAAATAGAAGGGAAAAAAAAAAAAACTCAGCTAGATCTTTCTAAAGTTGACGATCAGACACCGCTATTTCAAATTCTACCTCTTATCATTCCAGGCCAAAAGAGGACAAAAAAAAAAAAAAAGTGCAATAATGTGCGCGTGCAGGCTCCGCTGCTGCCTTCAGGTGCCGTCGTAATTGCGAGCTTGCGGAGCTCTTCGCCTGGAAGAAGCCAAGAAAGTGAAACACAGGCGGAATTTTTTTTCTTTTGACAGCTGAGCAGCAGAGATGTGACGTTTAGTGGGTGGAGATCATAAAAAAGCTCTGCCAAGTGCTGGTGTTAGAAGTGATGTAGTGAAGCCGGGCTGTCACTCATGTCTAATTAATCCGTTTTCAGGGGTGGAAAGGAACTTTTTGGAGTGACATTTTTTTTTCTTTCTTTCTTTCTTAGTTTTCAAGTTTTGAATATTTATATTCTTCCACCCTCTAAAAAGTAACTCAAATGACCTATTCCTACCGGTTAAGTGAATGCAGATAAAAATATTTAAAAAATACTTATTTAGATTAACCTTTTAAGCAAACATTTTGATGGGTTGGATGGACATAATAATGTTAGTAATCGGCTCAAGTTAATATCGCTATCGTCATCGTAACTTAAACTCAGATTTATGTGTGAGATGATTTAATGAAAATAACTTATGTAGCTTAATGATTTCAGGATTTCCCTTGCCATGCCTTCATTATTTCACATTGTCAAGAAATAACTTTGATTACAGAGGAAATGCTAGTTCCCTTAACTAAATATATTTTGTCAGTTGAACATAATTTTATTACAAATTTTCATAACTCAAATAGCTGGTATTTTTTTTGTTTTTGTTGTTCTCTGTTGTTGAAACCAGAAGTTTATATCCACTGTATAAAAAGACACACAACCTTTTTTTTTTCTCTGTCTGACATTAAATGTGACCAAACTTTTCCTGTTTTAGGTCAGTTGGGAATCCCAAAATTATTTCTATTTGCTAAATGCCAGAATAATGAGAGAGAGAATTTTTTAAATTTTTTATTTATTGATTTATTTTTACTGCTACTAACATAAAATAACTAATTCTCAGATGCTGAGTTTAATTGTTATAGTACCATTTTGGCATTATGTACAGTACTACTTTTAAAAAAAAAAGTTTCTTGTTTAAATTTAGTTTAAGACTGTGTTCTCGTGTTAATAATCCAAAATTTTTCAAAATTGATCTAGTTAATGGACTTGATGTTCAGTGTCATATATGGCACAACATATGGGAGTTACAAAGGACTACAAATAGATTTCTTCATACAATCCAGTTTCATGTCTCAGATAATGATAGATATTCCCACATGAACTGCTCACTCAACTCCCTCCACAACATTTAAATTGGGTTAGTGTAGGGACTTTGACTTTGCAAAACATTAACTTTAATCTTCTTCAATTGTTCCCTGGTAGAAGGATTTGACTGTTTTATCTGGTGTCTTGCTGCATGACCAACTTTCTCATGAGATTTTGTTTATGGAGAGACATCCTGACATTTTCCTTTCAAAATTCCCTGATATTATCCAGAATGTGTTGTTGATGGACAATTGATGGACAATGACAGGAAGCCGTCCTGGCGCAGACACAACAAAAAAGGCTCAAATGATGATACCACCACCGTGTTTCATTGAGAGGATAAGGTTCCTATCATTCGTAGCCTTCTGACTTATTCACACGGTCTTTAGATGGACAGCAATGTTCTTTATGCACACCACTGTTGTTTTGTGTTCACCTGATGGTAGATTCTTGAACATTAACTTTAGTCAATGTGAGAAAGGCTTTTGGAAGTTGCACCAGGTTCCTTTAACCTCACCTTTTAACCTCACAGACTGTTACCAGCCATTTTCTTGGAGTGATGTTAATTGGTTGATTACTCCTTGAGAGGCTAACAGTGGTCTTGATTTCCTTTATTTGTACATAGTCTCTCCTACTAACTAATTAGTGGAGTCCTTTAGGCGAGACTATCAGCAGAAACAGAAATCTCCTTTGTTTGGGCCATGACACATATAGATAAACATGTGACTGTTATGCTTAGGTAGATTCCTGTTCTTTAAATAAAACAGGCACCAATTCATCTCGTTGTTTGAAAATTCCTGACTCTAATTTTGCCTTCTAATTAACTGCTATTCCTCCAGGTTGAGAGACTGTTGCCACTCACTCAATATGTAACACTGGATCATTTTCCTCAATAGATTAACAGCCAGCTCATAATACCTTTGCCTCATTTGTTTAACTGGGTTCTCTTTGTGTACTTTTAGAACTTGTGTTAAAATCTGATGACGTTTTAGGTCATATTTATGCAGAAATATAACCTCACTTCTGATGAAACAGTTCTAAAAGAAACCAACAATGCTGCCTTCCTTAACTTAAAACTACATGGCAGAAATGAAGCTTGAGAAAAACGTTAACACTATTAATGAGGGCGTAGGTTACTGCTGGAGCTGTCACTGCAGTCTTACTTGTGGTCAATAGTGCACACAGCTACATAATGTGGTTTCATGTTAAATCTTCGATATCTGAATATTATTTCTCTTCAGAGGAAACTTAGACAACAGGGACTTTGTTTAAAATACATCATGCTGTTTTAAGTTATAAATTGTACAATTTAGCAGTGAAAAAAGTCGATTTTAGACCATTTTCCACAGCCGCAAGCCCATTTTACTCCATCCATGGATATGGATGAAGCTCAGGCGGGGTGCTTCTGTTTGTTGTTCCCTTGGTGAAGCTTTTTCACAGGGTGGCTTGTCAACCAAGTTAAAGAAGAGTTGAACACAATGGTTGAATACAGCCATGGTACAAATTCAGCATGTCTTGTTGCTCTACACATGTACTTTTGCAACACCTTACATCCACAGAGGCGACACAATGGCGAGCTGAAGTCCCATTTACCCCAGTATGTCAAACAAAAAGCTTTGTGTCACTAACATCCTTAGCTGCATCTCCTCTGCTGTCAGTGACCCTGACCCCATTTACAGCTCTCTCATCCTGCTCCTCCACCATGCCACTGTGACCCATGTCAACGGCGCAGCAACACCTTCTTCTCGCTGCCACTGTCAGCTACAAACACACACACACACACACACACACACACACACACGCACAAAGCACACACACACTAAGCTCCCCGGAGAGGCTACTGCCCAGTAATGTTTACCAAGACTCTTGCATTCCCTGCAAGCCTCTCTGCTGAGCAAAAAGTGTCAAGCTCCAGTATGTTTAACCCTGCAGAAGAAGAAGAAGAAGAAAAAAAAAAACACTGACAGGGAGAGAGGGAGACTAATTTATGCAAGTGGACTCAAATCTGCCCACGCCTTCATGTTAACCACCATGCTGTGCATCACTTCACACCAAGAAGGTCATGCACAGCAGGGGGAGACTTTCAAGAAAAAAGCACGCAGACACAATTTAAAAGTTAGAGTTACATCACATTAAAATGTCATGACTGCTTGGCAGAATGTTTCAAATAAGCAGTTACCCCTATTCTAATAGCCACACTGACTCAATTGTTAGATTAATGCTGCTTTTCAAGCATTAGCTGTGCTTTAGCAGCCAGCCCTTTGCCTGCTTTATTGGATTTATCAGCATGGCTGGAACAGCTAATGCTGAAACTTCTCTTCTTTGGATAATACACCGTTAAATTGCAATTGAAGTAGTTTATTCCAGTGATTCCCAACCAGGGGTACCAAGTACTGCGGTAGCCGAGGGGTAAGTCGAAAGATTAGCTCAACTCATCTGAAAAAAACAGAAATTACAATTTAATTAAAGAATTGACTGGCCCTGAACAGGGTTGAGCAGAAATGCCAACAGTTAACTAAAAGTAATGGATAAGCAGTAACAGACAGGCCAAAGTAATGCATTATAAATGACGAAATTAGATAAGCTATGGTGATAAGTGGTTGACGTAGCCACATTAAAGTCTGGCTGACAGTTAAAATGATGAGCTAATAGAGCTGACTGTATATAAAAGACGGAAGTTGAAGCCAATGCAAAAGTGACTTATAGCTGCATTGTTTCTGACAGCCAGTAGGGGGTGACTCCTCTGGTTCCAAAATGAAGTCTGATTAAATAGAAATCTATGAGAAAATTATTTCATTTCTCACTCAATTCATTGTCTTAGTGAACAGCTTACTAATGAGTTTATGGTCTCAGTTGTTTGTGTCAAGTCTCCTTCTGTACAGCATTTTGTAAATTAAGGGGCCATTTAGAGTAAAATAGACAATAAAGCAGGATGTGTTTTAGGGCGGGGCTACCTTATGATTGACAGTTGCTGCTGTATGGCTGTTGTAGTGTCCTCCAGTTCTCAGTCAGATCCCCCTCTTGCTCTTTCCACAAAGACTAAGCTAATGACGACAGAGAAATCCCAAACTTGCAGATTCAAAACTGTTGCACACAAGCCAATGGGTGAAGTCCATCTTTTAGTTACAGTCTGTAGTTTGTAGTATGGATGACCAGCTAAAACGGTTTGCTAAAAGTATGGCTGACAGTTGAAATTCTAAGTAAATGCAGCTCAAATGGACCCGAACACTGACAATGTAACCGGATGAAAGAAAAGGTTTTGACAACATTCATATGAATATAATGAATTAAAAAATGTCCAATTTTAAAGGAGTTCAAATAAATGCATTTTGAGCATGAAAGGTGGTGTTGATGAGGGGAGTCCCTCTGACAGAACTGTGGGAGAACGTCAGATGAAAAGAGCCACTGGTTTAACCTAATTATGTGGCAGGACTGTCGTACTTTGACTCATATACTGCCTGCATTGAGCACCATTACTAATAAAGCCAAGGACATTTCCTGTATTTACATACTTTGACTTAAGCAACCTTTTAATGCAAAACGTTTGCAAGAAACAAAGTCTTTTTACATGGCAGTAGTTAAAGGTATAGTCTGAAATACAAATCCAGTACACCTTTTGTCAAATTTAGTTAATGACCAGAGTGACCTTTTTTTTTTTTCTTTTTTGGAGGTTTTTTGACTAATGTGTGCATTTTTGACTTTTTGGGGCCATTTTGCTTTTTTTATGGTTGTTTTGCAGTCTTTTTGTATGTATGTGGTCATTTTGTGTCTCTTTGTGGCTGCTTTGCATTCTTTTTGTGGTCCTTTTTTGTCTCTCTGGTCCTGTTTTTATGGTCATTTTGTGTCTCTTAGTAGCTGGGATGGTTGACAGATACCTCTCTGGCCTCATCCCTGTTATGTCACACTTTCCAGTGTGTACACAATAATTGTTGTGAACATTGCCCACGCAGATGCACCTAGCGTGCTGCAGCCCTGTGCATGCTCAGATTACATTCCCCACAATAACATGCCACACCACGGTTCACCTGAAAAGAACTGAGGTCATGTTTACACCGATCAGAGTTTTACTCTAAGGGAATGTCCACACTTCTGCAGATATACTTCAAAACATGCTTTCTTTTTCTCAGTTTTAACCTTGATATTGTTTTTGTGCGTTTATGTGGACAGAATACTGGGAGAAAAAAAACTGAAAATACAGCTGAGGAGGCAGACCTCTGACATGCACACAGTAATAACTGTGTTAAGTGAGAGTCGGCAGAACAGACTGTAGGTGTGATCATCCCCCATGCTGTCCCTTCCGCCTGCTGGTGTTAGACGATTCTTTTTTTAGGGACAATGCGCTTCTTAACTCTGGATGGGAGGCTGTTGACCTGCTCGTTAACGAAGCACAAAACGCGAGAGCGCGACACGCCGCAAAATGGTGTGACACAAAATGACACTGCTGGTTTAGCACCAGCTAGCACGAAACAATAGAAAAACAAAATAGAACCAAATGTACGAAAAGCAAACAGAAAACATAATAACGTGAAACAAAACGGCACAACACAACATGGGAGTGCACAGAAATAGCACAAACATCAAACACATCAAGGCTGAGTCAGAACAAGCCTGGAGTCATTACTGAAAGTGGTAGAAGCAGAAATCGGTGTCAAATGCTGTTTACTTGCTATTTCCACATAAAGTGACATTTTCAGGGAGAAAGTTCAAGAGCGAATACACATCAGTGTGGCATTTGAGGTAATTGCCAACAGAGGCAGTGAGTGTGCTCTCAGAGTCCCTTTTGTCTTATTCCTCACTGTAGTTGCGGCTCAGCAGTGAAGAACGACTTCTTTCCATCACTGTCACACTGAACAGACTCACCTCTTTAAAACTGTATTGGGCCTTTTCCACACACAGCTAATAACATCCAGGTGCACATCGCTGCCATTATCCTCATCCCATTCCCGTCACTAGAGCTCTGCTAACACACTTATGCCGATGCTGTGTGCTGCTTCACTGCCTCCACTGCATGAACGCCTTCCTTATTTGCTAAGCTTAGTTTGCAATTACTAGTTTTTGTTTAAAAATGATGTTGTATTTTTAACATTGGAGGACTAGTTTAGCCTTTTCTGAATAATCAAACAGTAAAACATTATATTATTGGTCAATCATTGATGTGAAACAGGTCAACAATGAATCAAAGGTGACTGAGTTCTAGGGAACCATTGCTCAAAGACAGGTTAACTCATTTATTACTACATTTCTTTTAGTCACTTTTAACTTGGATAATAGACAGCAGCTCACTGTACTGTATGCACTGACTTCCCCACGTTGCAAAAGGTCGACTCCCAACTCTAAAGTAAAAGCTTCTTTCCTGTTGATCTTTTAGCTTCAGGATTCAGTCAACATGAGCTGCACAGGGACTTAAGATTACATACTTCCATGAATGTGTATGTGCTCCCAGTTTAATTGATCTACTCCTCGGACTGTGACATTTTTAATGAGGCAACAGACTACATTAATCTCAGCAGCCACTAGATACTGCTGCTGGTGATGAATTGACTGGAACTCATTGGGGATTTACGATGTTGACTGTGTAGTCACATCGTAACAGCATCAAATCTGATGGGGGATCTTTATTGCATTTTCTTCCCTCTCCTTTCTCTTTCCTCATTTCCCATTACGCTTGTCATCTTTGCACTGGCTGATGTCAAAATCTAAACAAAACTGTTCAACAACACCATGCTGAACATTGCACACTGAAAAAGATATACATTTGGGAAACAATAAGTACCTCCAA